ACACATCTCGCGTACACCCGCATACTCGCCGCCGCGTGGCCATCCCACGGCCGAACTGAATCATTCAGAAGATAAAAACCATATACCGTATTTCCTCTAATAGTGGGGCATGCCCGATAACTGTTCAGAGCCCCCAGATGGGTGCCCGTTAAATGGAAGTGCCCGCTGATTGGAGCATGCCCGTTTGGATTGGATGACCTATCAAGGAACTCAAGAAAAAACGACCTACAAAAAACACAAACTAATGCTTGCCTGTTTCTTATATTACAGAGGTACCTCACTATGGTTTTATACATATTTCTTCGCTTACGCATCATCTAACAGCTCATCATCTGTGAGCTCGTCTGTGTCCGTCTCGTTCGACACCCCGTTTAGGTTGCATTCGTTTCCCGAATCATGACTTTTTCGAGCTCCAGCGAGCTTCTGGCGACCGGCAGGTATTTGTCCATAGGGTTTGGAACAGTGGATCTGGTCATCCTCCGAACCGTCGAAGGCGACAGTGATGCCGCACTGTTTGAATGACCTGACAATCAAGTCCTCGGGCAACTCCCGCCACGAATCCGCAATCCATGACAAGTAGCTTTCCATTGGAGGGGCAGCCACATTTCCCCCACGGGTCAAACGTTTCTCGCCGTGCGGATCCCGGCTTTGAACGGGGCGTTCCAGGAAACGTCTGGAGGTTGTACAAAGTTTGTTCGGATGGTGCCCGTCTGATAGATAGAGATGCGATATGAGAGGACATTTTTTCGCCGAAAAAAGGACATTGTCCGCGAGGACATCATAACTGAAAGCGGACATCGGGGAAGGACATCGTTTTTTTCGTGATTGAAGGATGAGACAAAAGATTCAGGACCATTCTGACTTTATAAAATAGGACTTTGCTTACCAACCTATATTAATTTACGAACACAAGCTTTTCTATGTCAATTTCTCGCCATAAGGATTGTCCCAGTCAATCTTCGAACAAGAGTTCCGAGTTGAATTGTATCGAGAGATATTTCTTGATGTTCACCTCTGATAAGCGATGCCTCCGATCACTGAGGATATTCTTCAGCAACGAGAATGACCTTTCTACGTCAGCATTACAGAGGATTGCACTTTCGAAAGTTTTTGAGCCTCGTGGAGAGAGAGCTCTCACTTGGTGCAAATCGGGATTGTTCTGCAAAATACATTACAAACGCTGACGCAGATGTCCACTCAGTTGCTGCTCGATGGAGTCAAGAATCGCCAGTTGCTGCTCAAGGGATATAGAGCGCGACTCGAGCTCCTTGATATGCTTCGGGAGCTCTGAGAACATTGAGATAGCTTCGAACTGTTCTCTCAACTCGGGGTCGACAATGAGGAGTTTGAGAGTGTTCACATCACTGGATTTGCCGTCGAGCTGCCTAACGAAACATTCGACTTCTTCCAAACGTGCATAGTGATGGAAGGCAGCATTCAGGAACGTCCCCCAACGAGTCACGACTGGCTTGGGGGGCAAGGGGTCCCCACCAGTTAGCTCACGATATAGGTCGACCCTACTCTTTGAATTCGACATCACATTCTTCATACTAGAAACAAATGAATTCACTTTGTCGAATTTTTCGCCTATCGATTCACATAAGAGATGGATCCCGTGAGCCAGACACGTTACATGGAGGAAATCTTTGTACAACACCTTGAGATTGTTACCAACTGCGATGTTAGTGCGACACTGGTCCGTCACGAGCAGTTTGAACTTAGTGGGGTCCTTGGAGACGGTCATCGCCACTCTGTTCACGATTCCCGACAGAGTGACTGCGTTTGCCGAATCAACGAACTCAGTATCGTACAGTACCGGGCGTTCAGGTTCTCCCGACAATGGGATGACGATGGTATTTACGATTTTCCTGCGCTGTACGTCTTGAGTCTCGTCGATATAGATTGCGAACGGAGAGGATTCCACATGTTCTTCGATCTTCCTTCTGATGATGCCGTAACCATGTTCAATATATTTATCCGGTTTAGAGGCGCATTCGACATGCTCTCGTGCGTATTTCAAGAAGAACTGTCCGAAACGCTCTGATCGCAGCTTGCTTAGCGGGATGTTTTCCGATGCGACAGCAGAAATAGTTCGTAATTGAACGGGCTGAGGCTCTCTGATCTCACGAGAGACGAAACGATTCCGGTCTGCTTGTTCGTTGATTTCTCCGCAGCCTGGTGTTTCGCTTTTTTTCGGTGGGCATCCAGTCGCGTGCTCCCACGGCGGTCTCGGATCTTTACGCGAACCGAACACTTCTGGCATATCACTCGATCCCCGTCCAGTTTGAAGCACCGATTTTGTTTTTTCGCAAGCCAACCGCATACGAGCTGTCTCAGATGTGGATCCATTGCCTCGGGGCTTCCTGAAGACGCGACCCTTCGCTGCTCGAGCGGATACATCCACTCGGTGAACTTTTGAGGGATCATCTGTTCGTCGCGACGCCGACGTGTTTTGATTCATCCGAACGTGCATGTGTATATACGATGCACGGGGCCCCTCACTTTATCGATTCCAAGGGGAAAAAGGCCTGCGAGAATCAAAATAAGCAGAAGTTCCACCAGAAACTACAAAAAGCGGACATTTCCGCCGAAATGGTCAAGAAGCGGACAAAACGGACATAAAAGGACGTGTTCTCTCATATCGCATCTCTACTGATAGAGGTTTGGGAGAGTGTCCGGTAATTAGAGCATGCCCGTCTGGAATAAGACCTGTCGAACCATGCCCGGCAAATAGAGCATGCTCGAGAATGAGAGCATGCCCCACTATTAGAGGAAATACGGTAGACAGGATCCGGCTCGGGAACCGATTCGGAGGTTTAAAGCCGGAGAGCTGAACCTCAGCCATGCGGGATTCGTACTCCGAAAAGGATCCGATACAGCCAATACTCGACTCGCGATATTCGAATTTCCCTTTTCACTGTCGGCAGAGAGTTTTTAGATCCCTTATTCCCTCATCAGTCATGAGGCCCGAGGAACAATTTACGGTTGCAAGCAAGGTAGTACTAAACTTTTGATTCGCTGAATGAAGGCTCGGGACTCACATCCGGATCTGAACCTTATTGCGATACGATTCCATCGATTAATTCACGGCTTCGCTCGAGTGCGGCCGGACATGATCGTCTGGATCGGACTTCATAGGAATCGAAACACTTCGATGAAGACCCACGATTCTCATGCGGGACCGAACTCCATCAGCTTCATAAGAGCGCGTACGAACATTATCCTCCGTATCGACATTTGAGATAATAGGAACATATCGTTTAGGATCCTGGATTTCGCATCCAGGATGGATCCAGTCATCGTTGCATGGATTGCTTTTCTTGCATGAGGTTCACAGCTGGAGGAAACCCGGCAAGAGATTGGATTGGAATCACTTATACCTCCCAATCGCACATATGGTATTTTCCATTCCAGGGTTGGATTGTATTGCATTCACAAGTCATTTGCTCTCCCAACGTTGAAGGGTGTTCTTCGTCTTCCTGAGAGTCTCCGCCGTGGTATTCGGGTGGAGTCCCAGCTGGTATGCGAATTCCCGTTGGTCGGGGTGTCCTTCTTCGCATTCCAGCACGATGTGTTGGTCCGTTCTGGGGCCCCGCATGTTGGGCATCGAATGTCGATTGAAGGATCTCGGGCATGTTGTCGGATTCTAGTGTTGAGCATTCCTGCTCTGGTTAGCGCTAGGAATCGACTGCCCCTCTAATTATCGTATATTGGCTTACATATCCCTATTTTGTCTTTATGATGCCGATATGCACTCAATGTGGACTTGGACTGCATGCTTCGCCTCCATGTACTGCACATTTTTCCCGAACTCTTCCTTAGAGTTCCCCGTGGAATACATTCCACATCATTTTCCCGGATGTATTTCTCTGTGGTACGAGATCGTCGAGGCTGTAGAGCGCTCTCTTCTTCAGTCTCTCTATTGCTGTCACGTTTGTGCTGCTGATCTCTACCGCAGTAAGCGCGACTCTGGGCCATCTACCGTATTCTCTCTAATAGTGGGGCATGTCCCTCTATTTTTCGAACTTCCGAAACATGCCCCTATATTGGAGAGTGCCCGAATATTAGGGAGTGCCCCTCTATAATTCCAACATCCCGAAATGGATTACAGCCCATAGCCTGCCGTGTGGAGCGTGTCAATTCATTTCCCAACCAGTTCGTGGAGTTCTCAAGAAATCGGGAGCAATCATCAGATCATTCTCCAATCAGGAGCAGTTCTCAAGAAATCATTTCCTATCCTCCTCAAAAGGTGCCCCTCTAATAGAGAGTGCCTGTATATTAGAGAGTGCCCTTCTATGCTTTCATCTTCCGAAAAGGTGCCCGTCTAATGGAGAGTGCCCGAATAAAAGAGAGTGCCCCACTATTAGAGAGAATACGGTAGTTTGGTCCGTTTGTCTCACGCTTTCGAATTACATTACTTTACTGATGGCCTCTCGGGCGTTGAAGGAGCTTCAGCCGAGCTCAACATCGAGGAACTCCTTCGCTACGGTGGAGTGCGGTATTTCAAGAGCCCATGTTCCTGCATCTCTTTACCGGACTTCGATATGATATCTCAGTCTCTTTGGCATAGTTGTTGAAACTCCAGAGAGTTCTCGCATTGAGTCATCGGGTTTCCCTATTTGCTTTTTCGCTCAGCTTCCCCCAATATTTGGTCAAGTATTCGTAATAGGCTGATCGTTCGATTGCGAGGTATTTGAATGATTCTTCCTCCGGTATTTCCATTCCCTGTATCGTTCAGCCGGTGGAGGATGAGTTTCACCTACTCGGTGCGCGACGTATATTACCCCATACACACATCGCCTAAGAGAGGGATTGAAAGATCTGACTCCCCGTCATTCTGATCGTCTCTTTCATATTTAAACTAGACTTTCTGATTCTGATAATACTGGGCTCCTTCCTGGAGGAAACGGTGGTGAATATATTAATAGTTTCTGATGGAAACAGTCCCTTTCCGCAGTAAAGGTTCTCTATTTGGAGATACGAGAGCTATCGATGCCACTTCATCGGATGGGAAGGGGAGCAATCTGAATCGTCGGTGAACGGAGGAGCAGTTCCGAAACTTCGTACGCCATTGAGGAGAAAGCTACCACCATCTGGGAAATCTGCCGCAAGCGGTCTCCATTCGGAAAACCCTTGCCGCGGACATGCTCTCCCAGGGCGATATAAAGGTCCGTTTGAGCTGCCGAAACTCTTCCCATATCGAAGATATGTAGCGAGGCTGGAAGTAAAAATGGAAACTTAAGAGAAGCATCCCTCCGGTGTCCGCCAAGAAATCTATGAGAATCCGCTACATTAGAGAACCACATGCCTAAGAATACTCACAAGTATCCCAGAAGAGAATGCTCTTGAGCAAAACAAATTCCATCTCGTCGAGCTGGAGTTTCCTCATGGGCTCTAGGAGATCCTTGTGTATCTTCTGCCCCAACTGCATCGTGGGACTCGCTTGATCTTCGCTTATGAAGAGTCTCTCTCCCATGAGCAAGCGGGGCTCGGAAGATTGCGGAAGACTCCTTGCAATGATCTCGAACAGGAGATGCGTGACCCGATGATCCTCGGCCAGCTTCTTTCGGTCCTCGTCGCGGAGAGCTGGGAAATTGGGCAGGTTTCTAGCCCAATCAGAGATCCGCTCGGTCGACTGATCCACGCTCAAGTAGAGATCGACGAGTGTTGCGGCCGTCCTGCCCGAAGCATCGATCGCGCTCTGAAAATACGGGGGAGAAAAACATTAGAGTATTGAACAGTGAGGAATTCCCTCAACGGCGCGCGACATTGAGGATGATGATCCACGCCGCTATGGCAACAAACTATTATACGACGCTCGCGCCTGGCTACCGACGGACGCATCGGAGGAACTCCTCGACTTTTAGTTCCTCACCGATGAGAGCTCAAAAGCGCTCCCCGAATTTCTCCTCTGGGGACTTCAGCGAACGATTTACTCCCCCGATCGTAGGACCAATGATCCTCGCTCTGTATCTGTACCTAATAAAAACAGTGCGTGACACCCACCTTTGGCAGAATGCTGGAGCTGGTGATTGCGTTGTGACCCAGAGGCGCTCGACCGTTCGCCGGTTGGTTCTCCTTATTCTTGCGCGGACCGATAGGGTCTCTCTCTGGTTGAACAGCTGCGGAGAAAGGAGATCCGTTACTTGAGCTTGAGATTTTAGATCAATAGTCGTAAATATCAGGATTCGCTTCGCGTACCGCAGCCCTCCGGAATAGCACGTTCTTTGCATTACTCACCTCCTGGATTCATTCCCACCTCCAGACACCTCCGTAAACGGCAGTGGCGGCATAGAGATTTGCCCCCCGCTTCAGACTTCTTCAGGTTGCAGTTCTTGCTGAGCGGGCACTTGAAGTCGCGTTGATAACGGATGGATCTTCTGAAGAAACCTTTGCACCCATCGCAGCACACGACGCCGTAGTGCTTTTTCTTCGCCGGATCATCGCAAATCGGGCACCTCGACGGAGAGCTCGGAGAGTTAGCTGAGCGCTCGGAACCCGAAGATCCTATCGATGGGGATGCTGCTCTCGTTGAAGCTACGGAGCCATCGCTACCTGACGATGCCCAGGCAGGTCCCGAAGCAGCGACTTGGGCAGTCGATCCATCGTTCCATGACTGATTGGGTGGGGCGAAGCTTGCATTCGAGCCAAAAGTCGGAGCGGCCGAGTATCCGTTCCACGACTCTGTCATGGTAAAAGACCTCTTGCACGGGAGAGCCTGATCGGTGGAACCGGTACTCTGCTGCGCAACCTGATTCGTCCTGAGGACACTACCGGACATCGGTGCCATAGAGTTCAGGACGTCGGTCGAGGTTTGAGCCCCTGACATGGAAACCGAGCTCGATGTCAGATCTTGGAAATCGCGAGCACCACTCGTCGGCGGGAGTGCTTGACCCGAGAAATCCACCCAAGAAGCAGTTGGAGTCGCGGCGACAAAATTTTCGGAATAGTCCAAACTGCGATTCCCAAAGGCATCCGAGGAGCCATCACTCCAAGAATCGGTCGTAGCAGCGTTGACACCGTGCCACGGAGCGTATTGAGACCTCGATGAGCCCTCGTTAGCCTGCATTGACGGGTTAAATTCCATGCAGAAACTTGAGAAAGCGTCATCGAAGTACTCTGAATCGATCTTTGGGGCCGAGTATTGAGGAGCTTGGCCGTTATGCGGGTATGAACCCGCGTCAGCAGGAGCCCAAGAAGCAAATGGAGCGGCCAGATGATTCTCACGGCCTTGAGTTTGCAGGTTCGAGCCGCAGTCTCGATCTTGAGCTGGGGGTGCCTGTTCAAAAATATATGAGCCTTCGTTGAAAAGATCCTTCAATGGCGCGATGGGAGACTCATGCAACTCAACCTCCCTCGGGGAAGGAGCCATCTGTGTGTCATCTGGAACTGAAGCAGTCGATACGTCAGAGATGAGGAAATCTGTCTACCACGCCTCAAGAACAACCATCGCGATAAGGAAAAGCAAAACCCCCAGAAGACCACACGCATAGAACTCACCGCCTAAATCTCGAAAGAAGTCGTCATCCTCGCCCAGGACCTGCTCCAGGTTGTCCAAATCGTAGAAAACCTTCTTCGATGAATCCATTGTAGAGACGTCGAAGTTGAGGTCGTTTTCTGAATCAAGTCAGTTCACAGCTTCGGAAGCTTCTGTCCTGGAAACCCAGACTCGAACTTAAATAGCAGCTTCCTGTTACTCACCCCGTCCTTGAAGAAGGTGCCGACCTCATCGATAAGCCCCGCCCTGCTCTCTCACTCATCGAGACTCTGATTGAACCATCGGACCAATAGCTTTCGATCTATTGTAATTGAAGATGTCTAGAATTGCGCGGTACCTCAGGGGCGCTCATTCTGGGCGAGACTGAAAGCTCTCGTCATCGGGGCGCTGATGCCGAAGACCAACGATAAGCAAAACGATTTACATGATCGTTCGCAGAGAGGTGAGCTGTGAGTCATATTCTCTCTTTTTCACCGAGTGAATGATAGCGTAGTTCTCATTTTTAATTGGGGCTTCTTCCCGGAACAGACTCTCTGGCTATTTGGATTGACCGCTAGGACGTGACGAAGTCGAATTGGTCTACTCTCTTCCGACGACCATAACGACTCGGATGACTCATCGAACACGTACGATAGAGAGAAAGATCTCCCCGCCGACGCAAAATCAAATTTCGCCAACCTTCCCGACTCTCTCCCTGTAGTTTGCGAAAGACGACGACCAATGTGCAGGAAGTGCTCTTGGCCTTCGACATTCTCCGAGGGGATGCTTGACTATAGACTCAACCACACTTCGTGCCCAGGACGTCGCGAGGATGTTCACAAGAACCGAGATCCGCTGTCAGATGAAAGTCGCCTCAAGTCGATCGCACATGGAAAGGCGCGCAATCTTCACGGCCGGACGAGTCTCAAGGTGCCGGAATCTACGCGGAGCCGTGAAGAAACGATAGAATAGGCAGGGGCTTGGCTAAGAACGGACCATCGATGCCCCCTACTGCTCGGGGGTTCTCCCCAAATATTTGTTTTCGATTCACCGATGGGAGAACTCCGTCGGAAGCACAGGCGCACATATGGAAGATCTCCATAGAGATTTATTTGGGTGCACGCCTCCATAGGAACCGTCATGTGAATTTATTGGAGCGACTCTTTCTAGGTGCGCGACTAGGTGCAAGACTCCGGACTCTGGGTACACCATAAAATCACTGAAGCATCCCATTCGCCAGTTTCCGACCAATCTCAGCAGAAGGCTACCCAACAGAAGTTTTTTCTGAATCGGATTTCGAGGCCTGAACACAACATCTTGAGGGTTCCCCGAAGGTTCCACCACATGGAAGCTCTGTCGTAGGTCCAATTCTCTTTTCTGGGCTGCCATGCGCGGACTCCCCTGTTTTTTCCCAAATCCTAACGATGCATCCTCATTTCAAGTTGTCCCCGCAAACGGAGGCTCGACTCCTTACTCTCGGTTTGCGTCTTCATTCTTCTCGACGTGGTTTGTGAGATCGAAGCATGACGCATGAAACCTCTCTATTCACAGGTGCTTGAAATTCAGGAGTTCATCAGTATCGAAATGCATCACAACAGGCAGCACCGGTGAAGGCGGCCTAGATCAACTGGCGCGCATCATCCGTCTGACTCATTCTCCTCAGCCGAGTTGCGATCCGAAGACATGAGAACATCGTCGTATATGATGCATGCCGGCTTTTATTTCCTGGGGCGTATCCTAGCATATGTGTACATAGGTACTGTACATGTGGGCGCGGAATATACAGCCTCCATGAAGAGATTAGTAGGGCTGGGAATTCATCATGGGATTCACGGTCGCGCCGAAAGCCGTGAAGTTCTCGCTCCTTTCCGGGATGCCGTGAATTCTTCTTCCTGGCGTAGAACAAGGCCGTACGGCTCGGATCGGAGAAAAAATCGTCACGGAGAGGGGGAAAAACTATTGTTGCGTCGAAATGCCATTCCTCTCTCGGAAAACTATCGTAATGGAGCTCGCCTCACTGCAATACACTCTCGTGAAAATTTGGGAGCAAAAGGAACGCTTCTTCATTTGGGAACGCTTGCGATTTCTTCCTAGGCCTCGACTTCAAGAACGCGCCGAAACTCTAAAAAAGAACCTATTAGGACGCGAGGTAGCCGGTGGCGACAGTGGGACTGGTATCACAGCAAGGGGAAGGCACATAACCGTGAATCCTCCAATAGTGACCCGGGCTTCTAGTTGTTCAGATACCTCCGGCGAGGGGCTTCTATTGGGGAGGGGCTACTATTAGAGGGGGGCTCTTAATATTCTCAGCCGACTTCGGCAATGCGAGGTCTCCTAGTAGAGAGGGGCTCCTATTGGAGGGGAGCCTCTATTGGAGAGAGGCTTCTTTTGGAGGGGGACTTTTATTTTCTCAAAAGCCCCGGCGGGGGGGGGCTCTATTAGAGAGGGGCTTCTATCGGGAGGAGGCTGCTGTTGGAGAATTTACGGTAATCGAGAATCGTCGTATCATCTCACCATCGCTGATCGAATCGGTCGCATACGTGAAAAAGGAAGATCCCCCTCGACAAGTGGCCGCGAAGCGAATGTAAGAGAGACCAGGACCGAGTGGCGGGTCGGTCTCTGAGTCATAAAGTTAAAAGGAGTCAAACATAGACTACGCTCTACGTGAAAGGTCATCGCGAGGAACGACCGATCATGGAAGGAAGGATCAAGCGACCAAGAGGCCACATATCCACTCTACAGTAGCAGCGGTCGGCGTACCTCCGTCGTTCGAGAAAGTGGAAAGAGCGGCCCACTACAGTGGGCTCACGGTTAACGAACGCCTCGGAGAGCGAACTTTCAGGATAACGAACCTCCCGAATCGACACAATTGACCCGCATCACAAATTAGTTTGACCCGGTTGAGGAACTTTCTCAGATTTCTGGAGTGAACCGAAGCGGATCTCCCAGGTCTCGGGACTTCAAAAGTCTCTGTTTTTTCCGCTAGCACGCCGACCTAGAAATTCTTCGAAGAACTCCAGCCATTGTTCGCTCATAGTGATTTCGTCCCTTCGAACGAATCGACGTAGTTCTACGCAAACATGGGTTTGGCTCATAGCCAAACCTGCCCTAAATTTTTTTTCACTCCAATGATCCACGCTCGTAATCGGCCTTTCCCGGCTTCCGCACCAGCTTAGAGAGGAATAGCACTAGCTTAGCAGGAATCAACATCAAGTTAGGATAGAAGCTGGACTGTGATTGAAGTGAGAGTGGCGACTGCGCGGAGGCGATTGAAAATCGGTTAGGGAGGGTTCCCAATCCGGTTGGGAACTTAACGCAGTCTCCTCGGCAGAGATCTATACCGCTTGTAAACTAATAATCGCGTTGTCCCCGAGACGGACCGCGATGCGAGCGATTCCCCGAGGCTCCGAACGATTGACACTCGGAAGAACCTCCAGTATGAAGTCGAATCGGAGCTCATGTCACAGCGGTGAGAAGAAAACATTCCCTGCGAGCCTTGGCAACCATTGAATCCCTGCTTCGCCCCGCCGCTCGTCAGGAATGAACACGCTCCGCGGAATAAGAAATGCGCGGGGGAGCTTTCGGGGAGCTCGAATCATCTATCTGAACACAGCGATGGAGGCGATCTTCCGATACGCAGCTCGCCCCCGAGTAAGCGAGCGCAGTACTTGGGACATGCAAGAGCGTTTCGAATCTGGACCCTTGCTGAGGGTCTTTTCGCCAGGAGAACAAGATAAGTCGCGACATCCGGAGCTGGTCCATGAGAAAATTGAGAATCTCAGGAATAGCTAGGGAATACCTCCTCAATCTAGCACGTGTTTTCACTGACTGAGACTCACTGAAATGAAGCCGAAGAATATCGTAGACATGACCATTGTTCTGCCAGAGCTCCAGGTACCAGGAATCAGGGGAGCGGAACGGCTGGGAGTTGCGGAGGGACTATCTCGTCCGCTCGCGATGTAGAGATGCCTTGTCGGGGAATATAATTCTATGGCGATCCTGGAGTAGCAGAACTTGGGGAGGTCCGCATCCAGAGATACATGGATACATGCGTATCCATGAGGGATCAATGTCTGGATCTAGCATGGATGAATCTGATCGCAAGCTTCGGCCTTGAACGTCGGCTTCAGTAGGCACAATCAGGGGGAGAATGGTGTAAGCACTTCGGGGAATTTTACGGCCCTAATCGGCGGGGGGTATTATCAGCGACGCCAACGTGGTAAATATATATAGATCCGGGCAAACATCATTATCGTCAACATCTCCAATGAAAAGTAGAGAGCAAGATCCTTCCCCTCGACCCTCCCTGATACTTCTTTCCTGATTGGTCATCCAGCTTGAGAGACGGCATATCTGCGGAGAGAGATCGATCCTGTGATCGCACTCAGGACACATTCGATATATCCGGTTGAATAGAGGACAGTACCCGAACCCCGATCGAATGGTGGAGCGGAGCCTCAAGCATCCGGTGACGTCCTGAGCGATTTTGTAAAGCAGGATCAAAGCTCAAAATGTGGTTTTGCTTATAGATCCGTAATTTTCTCCGTGCTGAAGAATGGAGGATCAGGGCTCCGAGAATACCCCAGCGCTTCAGGCGATGAAATTTCAACGGCGCGGGCTCGAGCGCTATTGCTTGCACGAAGATGCGATAGCCCCAACCTGGTACCATCTCCCGCCGCTTCTGTGGTGACGGCGAAGAAGAATTGTCATTAGGCTATATGAGCTTGGGAGCCGAATGCGAGGAGGATAATGGAAACAAATGGAGATATCGTTTACCTACAACAAAGGATAATGTCTGTGTCCGATACATCTCCGTAAATGCATGTCTCTGTATCGGAACATGGGATTTCTTCATCTGGATACGCCGAGTCGCTTTGTGTTCGCATAGGTTCCCATCTCCATGTTCAGATGCCGTCGCTATGATCTAGCCGCTTCATCGGGACAAGACGGCCGATGCGATCCTGTTGAGCGGAGTCCACTGTATCCTGTGCATATCTGTAGGAATTAGAAATATCCCGAGCATTCAAAATTTAACCGATGTCGACTCAAATCGTGAAACGCTCCGCCTTCAAGGGGCTGCCGCAGAGATTGTAATTTTCCTGAACCTCGCAATATGCAGCGGAAGCATCGCGTTCGTTGTGTCAAGATTACTCTATTGTTCGGAAGTCCGGTCACCGCTCCTCACTGAGGACATGGGGTTCCCCGGAGCAGTTCTGATACTTCGAAACTCGTCAGGGGCAACACTGCTGGATTTTTCTACCGAATTGATGGCAATCAACGGAAGTCGGGAGTCTCTCACTCCTCGAAGATCATCGCAACGAATAATGCAGTCAACATTTTCGCCGGGAGTGTTTCCCGCCAACTCAGGAACTCGTTATCACATGTAAATTTTGCCCCCCCCCCTTTCCCTCTCCTGATGATAAAAGGAGATAATGGATGAATGAAACTAGTTTCGACTGGTGACAATCGCCTCGGAATTGCTCATCCAGGATGAGCTCAAAGACGCGGAGTTTACTTCGTCGGATGAAATCGGGCCTTGAGATGATCTCATCTTTCACCGTTGTCTTCTCCGCGCGGTACGTCAGCGAGACGAACATTTATCGCTGAGACTCGCTGCGCGGCGCCGAGGAACCTGTTGAGGTCATGCGGAGGCGATATCGGCAGCTCCTCCCCGTAGATTATTCTAATCTTCTCTACCTTGACTCTCTCCACCAGCTCCTTGGAAGCATTTGTGTATATTTCTCTTTCTTTCACTTACTCCAATGGGCATCATTCTTCCAGTAGCACGGCGTTTAGCGGATTAATCTCATACCATACATCGAATATCGGACTTTTCGGAGAAGTATTGACCTTGACCCAGTAGCGAAATTGACTCCATGGGAGAGCCTAGAGAGGCTTAAGGGCGTATGTCGGTGACTTGTGCACACCGTCACGCTTACACGTGGTATGACAAACAATGGCTCGGAAAGAGTGACAAGCGTGGTAGGAGCCGCCAGGACCAGGCCACCTCTATATTCGAAGGTGAGCAAGTGGATGCCCTGACACACGAGTTTTCATCTCGATTTCGGGAGATTAATTCAAATTCGCAAGCTCGTGCTGGTCTTCTACTCACGCAGATACTCCCAAGCTGAAGATGGCCCTGTATGAACTCATATTCGGGCTATCGGTTCTGGCTCTCGCCGTCACAGTGTCACAAAGGACTCGTTATTGGGCCAAAATGGTTTCGTACTTCATTATAATGCAGCTCGTTTCACTCGTTATGTTGCCGATGGCTCTCATGTGCCCAAAAGACCCGAGGAACTTCTTGTACGTAGCTATGCATCTTGCGAGCGTTATATGTCTACTGCGGAGCTTAGGATTGTTGCCTATCTCCAATAGGTACAATACTCATCCATGTCCATATGTACCGCAGCGATTTGCCTGTCTGAAGGCTTAACTGTGGGAATTCCTTCAGATATGGCGCCCGGTTGATCAACTTGTCGAACATCATCTTCCGAATCGATTGGAAACTCAATGGTAGAGACAATGTCAAGGACAAAGCCTACATCATCGTGGCGAACCATCAATCATCTATCGATGTCCTTGGTGAGGTCATTGATGATTTGGTTCCCCCAAAAAATATGAGGTTCTCTCGAGATCCCTTTTCTGATCATCGGCATTGGATCCTCAGACCGTCGAGCTCAGCCAGTGACACTTTCCTGGGAGGTCAGGGATTATTCGTGATTCTCTATTACAGGCATGATGATGGCTTGGGACGTATTCCATCCGGTTGTCCCTACGATGAAGTCTGCATTGAAGTATGCTCTCCCTTTCGGGCTCTACGGCTACCTATCGGGATCGGTGTTCATCGATCGAGGCTCGGAAAGAGGCCGAAAAGCTTTGGAGCGTGGTTTAGAAGAAGCAAAAAAAATGAAAAAATCGATGTGGATTTTCCCTGAGGGGACGAGAAATCACACCGAAGAGAAACTGCTGCCTTTCAAAAAAGGAGCATTCCACATGGCGGTTCAAGCGCAGGTATGACGCCCACTGATTCTCACGTGGAACCCGGAGGGAAGAGTTTGAACTCGCGATTCCCCGGCATCAGGCTGCAATCACGGCTGGGTCACTGAGTCAAGACTCCCTTAACGCTCTCTCACCGTTCCCCCAGATTCCGATCCTGCCAGTTGTGTTCTCGGACTACTCGAACTTTTACGACAGAGACGGGCAGCGATTCGACTCGGGCAAGGCTTCCGTCACGGTTCTGCCTGAAATCAGCACCGAGGGCTTAACGAGTGCCGACGTCGCCGAGCTCTGCGAAAAAACTCGCAACCTGATGATCGAACAATATGTGAAAACCGCTCCGACGGGAAGAAAATGCACATGAAGTCCTTGCTGAAATATAACTCGGATTCCACTATATTGGAATGCACGCGGGAGTCTATCGCGTCATCATCGCGTTGGTAGCTCGGTTTGCCACAGAATATTTCCATTAATCCTCATTCGATATCCTCATGCACTCGAGGGGCCTCAGAAGAGTTTGACCCGTGGTAGCCGAGAAGTTGGCACATACCTACTCTGATATCCTTGTAGGTAAAAATTCCACTCGGTACTGAATCAAGATGAGTTTTCTCGATTGAGAATCAAGCTGACAGCATGGGCTCCACAGACTCCGTCGTATAGTTGCGCTGAGCATGGTTTAGTTTCTTTTACAATGCTCTTCACTCAAACTCCTCCCTCCGAACAATGGCTAAATCAGACAGGGGAGCCCGAATAATGCAGAGCAAGCCCATCGCTAGGAGACGATCCCCCGAGCGGCCATATTCGGACATTTCGCCGGGAAATCCCCCTGAGATTCGGTTCCGAGGCTCCCTGGCGGATTCTGACTGATGTGAGTGGGATTCCCGTCAGATTCGCTCGCAAATGCGGTTGCCTTGGCTAAGATATGTCTCGGAACGCTTTGCTCTGCTCTGTACATTAGGAGCAAGATATTCGTCCAAGTTTTTCGTGAGTGTGAAAGTTTTCCTGATAGCCGTCTTAGTCGCGTCGGTGAGTGTTCTACCAAAGCTATCCTGCGCCCAGATCCTAGACACATCCGGTAATGTATTGCTCCGACCATCTGGTCCTCACGATGATTGGGAAGAGGGTCGTTTGTACGGGAAAAGGATGAGCAACTAGAGGTCACCGTCGTTCGAAACATTCGAAACAAGCCTCACGTCATAGTTTTCAATCACCAATGCCACCTGGATGGCCTAGGTGGGGGACCCGGTCGATAGAATGTCCTGACGAATATTCTGAGCAACGCTCTCTTTCTCCATGTGATAGCAGGCATCCTACTGAAGTACCTTTGATTCCACCCGTGTGTGCCCTTAATCAAGCAAGAAGCGAAACACTCTACTCTGATTTTCGGCTGGCTGGTAGGACTCTGTGGGGCCATATACACCAACAGGAGCTCGACTGACGACGCAGAAAAACGACTGCAGAGAGATCTCGACCACCTGAAAGCCTCGGAGACATCGGTCACCGTTTTTCCGGAGGGCTCACGGAATCACAGCAAGGAAACTCTATTGCAGTTCAAGAAAGGCGCTTTCCACATGGCGATCTCGGCGACGGTCAGTTCGTGCGATCCTCCCGGAAGATTCTCCCTTCGCTCCGGAAATCGGTACTCAGCTCGAAAGATTGTGTCGGGACTCATCTAATCTTGACATCCTCCGTCTTGTCAATTGCCGATTCTCCCGATCGTGGTATCGGACGACTCGCCGTTCTACTAAACGAGAAAGAAGAGTTTCGACCGCGGTCGGGTTATCATGGAAGTACTCCCAGATATTCCGACGGATAACTTGACAATCAAGGACTTTCGATTACTTATGCAAGAGGACTCACGAGAACATGGAGAAAGTCAAAGAAGAATGCAGGCCTGTTCTGGTATGGAGAAAGGACTCCTCTCGTCAGACAACATAGTCTGCCGTCCGAACGCTGTGTTCTGATATAGTAGGAGACAATGAGAACTTGAATTTCACAATGAAGTCACCGAGACTTTCTACTGTGCCGATTGTCTGTCTAGTTTCCGAGCTCGCCTGCCCGTCTATGTAACACCACCTTCTGTGAGATTTTTGTCGCACGCTTGTGTGCCGTTTTCACTTCAGCGTGGTGTATCTAATTTTACCGCGACGGACTGGCGGGATGCAACCATAGAGGCACCTCGATCAAGCGTGACGGCCTGAGCGGGTGAAAGTGAGACCCTCCAAAAATTTTGGTGAGGAAAGTATATAATCCCTTGACGGGCACGAGTGGACAGCACACGGTGCGGCGCCATGCGCAAGAGGGCCCTTGTCGCAGTCTTAGGGGTAAGAAGTTTGTCTAGAGATCGCCGAGTACGCACCGGGAGTCGCTTCGCGCACCTGATGCAGCGCCGATCAGCTTAACAACATACCCCCGTACGCAGCGCACCGCTATGCACTGCAAGCGTAATGAAAGGTCATCAAGTCGCGAGCAATGATTTTCCACCCCAAAGCTCTCTCTGGCAATTTTTTGTGGACTTTTTATGATCGATTCAATCGATCGAATATCAGCGTACGGATCTAGGTGAGTTGTGCTCTATCTCAAGACTCTCCGAAACACGAACGCAGCCCTCCAGCTAAGCGTAAGACACATGAGGATGTTTTTAAATACTCCCAAAAACAGATCGTCTTCTTCTTGTCGGTCACGCTCCACAGCCAGAAATTCCCCGGCGGGGAGCCTTTCGCTCCGCGCGAAGCTTTCCGCCGCTCTATAGCTCGCACGGACCAGACCAGGTCGCCGAAGATCGAAGCCGATGGGTGTCGCTTAACTCGATGATTTTGTGCTGCAGTTCCTGGCCTGCCTTAGGTCGACCCATGGAGAGCCCACACAGCAGTCAAAGGTCCAGGAACTGACGGAAACTCGCAATGTGAGCGTGCCTTCGGGAAGCAACCGTGTCAGCGGTGTCGTCCCAGCGGGTGTCTTGGTCAATGCTAAAGCTCCTGACCTGGAGGTGGCCGAGAGCCGATATCATGGAGGTGGGCACCACGGACACGGTCAGTACGGTGGTCACGGACATCGCGGCCATCGACGCTACTACGGCGGACATAGACATCACGGTCGATACGGGGGACATCATCGTCACGGTGGGAGAGACTACAGGAACCATCATGACCGTTATGGGAGACATGGTGGGCGTCACGGTGGTCACAGACATCGGCGATACCACAACAACCACCGAGGGAACTACCATCACGGCCACGAGGGTGGAAGACATCGCTACGGCCACCACCATGGAGAACGAGGTAGAGAAGGAGGTCATTCGGGCCACAACCACTACAATAATCGCGGCCACAGAAATCACGGACATAGGAACGTCTATCACAAAGAGGACTCAGCCCACCACAGTAGGTACTACGACGACTACCACGATGGCGATCACAGGAGAAGATATCACGACCATCATAGGCACCATGACAGACATGGCGGGGGTTCGAGACACGGAGCGCATCACAGACAGCACCACGGTCGCTACCGTCACGGAGACGACTACCATCGACACGGAGGTGGTCATCACAGGAATCATCACGGGGGTCACGGCTCCAGCGGACACGAACACCACCGCCATCATGGTCAACACAGACACCATGGCGGAGGACACCATAGAGGAGGTGAACACCATAACGGGGGTCACCATCATCATATGGGCCACCACAGATCAGGAAGACGTCATTACCACTAGGATCGAGGTCTGCCAGAGAGTTGTCCTGCACCTAGACCCACCTGAGCTCGAAATTCGTGACGCCGACCATGACTTTGTTCGTGTGTCAAGTTACTCCGTCTATGCTTCTGTCTTCTGCTCCGTTTTGCTGTCTTCGTCCTCATCGTCACGTAGCCTGCGAGGCTTCCGTCCCTCAGGATGCTCGGGGGTTCCGGGGTTCCGCAGATTGTGCTCTGCCGCTATACTCGTTGTTCTGATCTCGTTGTGTGTTCGAATCTAGTCCAAAAGTGTGTGCTTCCATTGTGTCAAATGACGGGAACGTCCCCGCACGTCAGCGGACCTCTTTGCGTTCGTTCGTTTTGTTCTCAAAAATGTTCGTTCTCGAGTGGATAGAGGAATATAAGCATTCAGTCCTGTTTTTTTCGCCATTGAGAGTTGTGTCCTCCTTCCGTGTTTGCCTCTCAGGGAACCCGAGATTCGGTCTTGTGATTGTCGCATCCGGGGCACTGTCCTTAGATGCTCCTTGTGCTTAGTTAGAGGGGAAAGGGCTGCTCGTGGTTCTATGGTACGATTTTATTTTCATTGGGAAACTTGCATCAACAGCGATGATCGATGTCAGCGTTTTCCGGTTCGCTGAGGCTTTTGACATCCGAGCGAGGTTCGAATCTGCGGCAGCCTACCATACCCCTCCGGAATACAAATCGGGAAGCTCGAAGACCTTAGTTGGGAGTATTTTTCAGAATCGACGGCGGAGTTTGTTGATTTCCTGCTGGCGACTCACGAAATTGTCTTTCTTGACAGCGGGGACAGAATCCTTCTCTCTACTGATACGCTCTTTCAGCTCGAGCCTTTCTCGGAAGGGTGCTGCATTAAGCGGCAGCATCCACCATGTGATGTGTAAGCCGACCGTTCCCACGATGACTGAAAGCTAAAGAAGTCATTTCTTAGTCGAGTCGGCAGAGAATCGGTCAGGCGCTGATTGGATGCGTCGTGGTCGGATCTGATGACGCCAAGTATTCAGGTCTCGAATATCCCCTCTTTGCATAAGGAATTCGATACAGGAAGAACTTACGATGACGAAGAGCAATACAAATATGCGAGGAACAAAGAGTCTGTCGTATCCCAGGTCTTGATCCGGCGCCAGAATTGACGTTCCGTCCCCAGTAGTTCTCAATGACAGAAGGATACTCGTTGTCGCAAGCGTGAGCAGATAGCACGAGAGACCAGGCACGCTGTAAATCGCAACAGAGCTCGATTTCGGAGTATTATCACTACAGAGAAGTCGATACATAAGAATCGACCGGTGCTTAATGATTGAGAGCTGCGAGCTAGCTTCGAATTAGCTTGAGGGGAGCAGATCCGTGATGCTGTCCATGCTACTTACTAATTCCCACGGGATTTTGCGAAAAAAAAGCTACTATGGTAGACAACGTCCACAGGAAGGCGAGCAGGAATGTTCCGGGACCGACTCCGAAAACCCGCACCATGTCGCGTTTCGCAGACCACGGGCTGGTGGGAGCCGTTTCCTGAATTATTTCGTCAATGGATTGTTTCGACGGTTGCTTAGCGACCGCAGACCGTGGGACTCCGAGAGCTCTTTTCACCATATGTGGCATACCCCCCGCAGCTCTGTACGAATTCTATTCCCGGGCGGGGATCAAGGCAACATGCGCAGCACTCGATCGATAGGTCTGAATTTATCAAGGAAGAGTCCCGATAAGCGTACAATTTTAAAATTAAATTTATTATTTACACTTACACGTATGTCGGGATTCAGCTAGCCGCTCTGCTCGGGTCTTCTCAGTGGTGTCTGAATCTGTCATGAGATCCCAGAAGGACTCATTTATGTACAACTAGTGAGCTTACTACATACTACTACTACCCGTAGCTACCTTGAGGTGAGGGAATCGGAATCTCCGTGGCGTTTCTGGATGATTTCCCTAGGCGTCGTTTGCAGCATCGTTTGGTAATGGAAAGTATGAGTTCACTCATCAATAGCTCACTGACGAATAAAAAGAAGTGTCGCGTTCTTCGAAGACCCAGGTTCTCGACTGAGGGAATGCCAGGAACAACAAAACGGATCTACGATTGAAACGGCGTTATAAAGCTGAAGGCGACGCTCGCGTCTCTCAACCTTTAAGTCTATCAACCTTAACACAAAACGCCACTGTAGGTCGCTGCTTTGAAAAGCTCGTCAACAGAGGCTGAGCCATGTGCGGAGACGGGAAAAAATCGGTCCCCACCACAGAGTTGTTCTTCTCGAATGGTGATCTTCAGAAATGAGTGACTTATTTAACGGATCCAATCAATGGAGAAATGTTTTGAACGTGGTCATAGGATATACCTCGTCCAACAGGAATGAATTATCAATCATCACACACACGTACTCGCAAGCGCGCGTCCTACGAGGTTCCAGGGACGCTTTCAAATCCGTCTGGATTACCGTCTACGCCGCTGCGTATGCATGGACTAAGACTAGATAAAAGATCCGTAACACTATAAGTAAGCTAGCCCTCGGTAGTATTTTCGTTACGTGGTTCAACTATCTCAGACATGCTCAACCTGGCCCTCGTCTTTTTTTTGTTGTCTAGGTAGAGGAAGCCTTCTTCCCTGTACACGATGTTTCTCTTCATCTAAAGTTTCAATCTCAGTCGATCATATCTACAAACGAAACAGGGAACAAAGCCCGCTTTCCATCCCCGGATTGGAGCATGCCTTCCATCCAATCTTGATCTTCGGTTTTTCTTTAGTTATCAGAATTATGTCGCCTTCCTTGAAGGACAACTCGTCATCGGCATCTGCGCTGCAGTTATAGAGCGCTCTGCATCTCTTATAGGTGACCGCGGATTCCGGCTTCGCACCTAAAAATGCAGAAGGAATACATCAGGAGAGATGGAGGGCATTGTTTCCCGCCCGCGAGGTCTCTCGTCAGCCTCGAGCCGAATTTCAGCGACTTCCCCTCGATCGACTCACCGTTCACAGGAGGCTTAGGAGGCGGTGGGCACTTCGGCCTTTGTACTGAGCTCCGTCCAAGGGTCGAGGTGATTTCGTCTAACAAACTGGGGCCTCCTGATCCACCTACGTCCATTGAGAGGTTGCGTTTATGTGGTACTGAGCCTTGAATTGAGGAACTGGCTGAAGTGGTGCTGGAAGCAGGTGTCGACGACGGTAATTGGCCGGGCGTGAACATCGGGTCAGACGGGGTGCGATTGTGATTTGGCGTGGAATACAGCTGAAGCGGAGGATTGGGAGCTGTTCGTTTCTTCACTGAGCCAGGAGTTATACCGCCTGTTGGAGGGGCTTTCTTCCTGCTCATCGGGGATTCAGCTCGCATCAGATCGGTCGATATTACGGACGCGGGCCTTGATCCTCGAGCTCGCCAATCTGATAGCTGCGATCGGGAATTTCGTATTAGCTCGTGGCTCGTACCTACATTCCGGTAGCCTCCACGGATATATGCAACTAAGTACAGATTTTTCGGAGTCCGAACCTTTTCTTCTGCGTAGTCGTCGTCGGAAAAGTCCGTTGACCCGTCGTCCGCGTGCGTTGGGGGTTGTAAACTGCCGAAATCGAGGTTGACGTTCTCGAACAAGGATTTCTTGTTTTCGGCCGCGTGATCTATGAAAAAAACAACAACAAATGAATCCATAAATTGCAGTATGGACGATCATCAGAGCTCCCTCATCTTCTCGGAACCGCTTGCCATCGGTTTGAATGAGGAGAGCATCGAGGTCTCTGCATGGTTCTTCCGGTCGAGTCTTTTACCCTCACAATTAACTCACGTTTTCTCTTATAGATAAACGGGAGATCTCGTCAGTATTAGGAGAATACAATAAGGTTTCCTTATGAGAGCAACGACTTCGATCGGACTGGGGCATCAATCTTCAAACAAAAGCACAACTCACCAATGAGCTCCAAACATTTCTCGTATCCTTTCTCCTTCGCGATATCCGCAGGTGTTTTCCCCTCGCTGTTCCGTCCGGTGAGCTTAGCCCCGCTTTTCAACAAGAGCTTTATGCATTCAGTTTGCCTGTGGAGCACCGCTGTATGCAAGGGTGTACAACCGTCTTTGTTCGTCACGTCGATACAGTTGCCGTTCTGCACTAAGAAGTCCACGAGATGCAAAGACGTGCCGTCCTCCTGGAATGTATGAAACCCAAATCAGAAAAAAAAATCATGCTGCCACGCCCAACGGAGATTCGACCTCATTATGCAGATTAGTGTAAGCAGTTTCACGATGGAGCGGTTCTTTAATCTCGAGCTGGGGCTAGAAACGAGGTTTCGGGCGACACGCGTCTCTCTTAGTCCGGGATTATTCGAGCCGGGCAACAATCGAATCACTCGAATTCCATGATGTTCTACCGCAAGCTTGGGGATCATTGTGGCCGGAGACGACTATGTTGCCCGACCAGGATCCCTTTGTCGTTTGACTATTCTGGGATTGGGATCAAAACCGCGCGCCCATCAGAGAGTTAGCGGACCACTTCGAAATTTATCTTGTCTCGTCCGCCAGTTGAGTCTCAAGATAACACCGGAAGATCTCTTCATCAAACGGAGTCGCCCGCACTTACGTAACCCGGCAATACGACCGATTTCACGCCTTTCAGCCCGCGCAACCTCACGCTGCTCTTCCGTCTCACCTGTCAGGCATCAGCTATTTGAAAGGATCATACAGGCTACTGAACTGCGTCTCAGTTCGTTGTCTTATCCTGATCTCCCGGAGTTGGATTCACCACGTGCTCGCTAATCGGAATTTCCCAGAGGAGTATGAGAATCCTACCTGACGAACTGCGACGTGTAGAGCTGTATCGCCGGTGCTCTGATAGCCGGGGAGTGGTAACGTGTAATCCGCGCCCTCGACACATGTTTGGAGTAATTGGTAAATAGACCTAGTTTGGATGGCCTGTTCAGTGTCCTGGAATGACCCGGTATATCAAATTAGAGATAGACTGCATAAGCGATCTCTTTCGGTGACGATTTCAACAGATCGATAATAATGATAAGCGATCGACAAGTGACCGATCTTATAAGCATAATCGACAGAGATTCATGCGCGTTATCTAGGGTGCTCCATCACCTGTAGAATATCGAGCATTGTTGAGCAGGTCCTCAAGACGAATTTCTTGTCCATGTATTTCGCGCGGATGTACTCCGAGCGTTCTTCCATGTTCGAAGCTTGCGTGGGACGATTGACATTCCCCAGGGTGGCTTCCATGATCTCGTTGAAAGCGTTGTTTCCCATGACTCGGGCCAGCAGAAGTTGGGATGTGCCCAAGTTGTCCAGAGTCAGCGATTGTATTCGAGATATGTGGACTCCCAGCTCCCTGCCGAATTTCGAATCAAGTCGTTTCGATTCTGCTCTTGTCAGCTCCGGTATTTCCAGTCATCTTCCAACAGTAAACATGCGCGGACTCACCTGTGAACGCCGCTGCATTCGATGCAAGTGATAATGCCGAAGTTGATTGAAAGCCAGGTGACGTCTTTATTGGAGCTGCAATCGACGCAGCGATCGTTGCCGGGCAGACTCTGCACCTGACGGATTAATTGCTCGCGTAGTTCGGCCCCACCGGCCGAATCGCTGAACGCCTTACGCAGAGCACCTTCTTTACAATTGAGCAAAACGGCTTTCCAAGCCTCGAGGTCAGCGTCATCTTCGGCTTGGAAGTGATAGGTCCGGTTATCTGTAAGCGAATCAAAATCGATGGATAATCCCGCGCTCTCTAGTACTTGGATTCGAAGAGAGTCGGCGCGTTTTCCCCGGCTAAGCCGGCTGCCGAGCGGAATGACAGCAGGAACTTACATGAAACGAGATCGAAACATCGCCTCTCATCATTGGGCAGTTTCAGTTGGCATGTAAGTAGGTTGAGCTTCGTGGGAGGTTTGGTTTCGTCCGAGTGATATATGCAGAGGTAGCCGTCTACAATTTCGCATCGCCGTTTCTGCCAGACTCGACGCATTTTTCCATCGCTCTTCTTCGACAGATACCCGCTTTTCGTTGTTCCGTAGTGTTGATTCCCCTGGGAGTGATCCATAAAATCCACAGTTAGTCGACGACCTTCGGAGTATATCAGGACAGACCCAGTATTATGAAGTTGATTATCGGCACGGTGAATATTCGGTTTGGCTTTCCCGCAAGGATCAGAACTGACTTGGAGCTGATGGAGAGAATAGCCGCTCTGCGTCGTGTTGTTGGAATTACTGTCTTGACCCGTAGCGGCCCCACCGAGAGTTCCGCCGGAGCCGTGGGAGTTCAGCGAAGCGTCGAGACTCAATTGAGACGGCGTGCAGTTCTTGAGTGTGTTCTTGAGCTCCAGAAGCTTCTTTCGTTCGTCGTCTTGCTTGGCCTTCATGGTCTGAAGTTTCTGGGACAACTCATTCACATACTGCTGGAAATGCCCTGCGGACGTCGAAGCTATGAATCTCTATCCACTAGCTGGTACCAAAATCACATCCGGGAAATTGCGACGATTGGGTCAGCTCAAGACCGCACTCAGAGAGAGAGACCTTGTCTCGAACTCTGAACCTACCGATGGTTTTGATACCGTCCTGGAAAAACGAATTCTGAGCGTGATAGAATTCCACGAGATGCTGGAGCAGTTCGACGCCTTTTCGTGTTTTCACTTCGTTGACACGGAGGAGATATTCGCACATTTGCAATTGGAAGCAACGGCGCTCTTTCTCCATCTCCTCGGCAAGGTCTGCTCCGGTGATCTCAGTTCGGATCATTCCTAGGAAGAAAATAATAGATAGCGTCAGCCATAATCCCACGTCCCGCAAATGGAATCTGATTTCCTGGAGATTCTGAGTCGACAGTAAGTCTCATAGGACGGTAGAGGGAAAAAACTCACCAGCTTCTTTTGCAATAGCCTTCTTCTCTTTTTCGATTTTGGTCACTTTTCGATCGTAATCGGCAAACGCCTTGTCGACCGGTCGCTTCAGATCACCTTAAAGGGGAGCGAGCTTCAGAAACTATCGTGTCCGCATCGTATCATATTGGGTTTTCCCGCATAATTGGGCTTGACCAGAGAGCCGGAGATCACGCTTGGGCTAAAGAAATTACATCGACGATCCCACGATTCGACCGAAAGCGACAAATGAAATCCGCTCACGCGGAAAATGAGTCGATTCTTGCGGTTTTTCATCTCGTTCAGGGAGTTCTCATGACTCAATCGAGTTTCGCTCACAAACGAGCCTTGGTCCGCTTGCGCAACGCTTTCGTGGTCGAACTCATACCAAAAAGTGACTCATTCGACGACAGTGGGTAATGACGCCAACGTCGGAAGAGCCTGTAATGGATGGCGTACCTTTTACGCCCCGAAGATCTCCTTTGAGCAGATTGTCGACCGGGAACATGATGATATTGTGAAGGTTTTGCATGAGCGTCTTCATGAGTGAAGAAACTTCCCGGGCCACAATCGAGAACTTGATGAAAGCAGCGCCGATTTCCGGCTCGCCTTCACGGCTCATGGCATGACTACCCAACTTCTCGAGAGCCTTCGAAAGGTAGAGATCATTATCCACGTGGGTTGTACCTGGAAAAACCACAACAGTCTGACCATCGACTTTTCTCCCGGCTTACCAATATGAGGATTCGAGAGATTTTCCACATCGATATTGGTCAATGGTCTCCACCGGACGCAGAAAATCAATATTCTCTGCCGTCTGACAGCTGGGGCTGTCCTCAGGGCTCATCGCTTTTATCGGAAATGCCTCCGAACTTACCTGAATTGTAAACCGCTTTGATGGCTTTCTTGAGTTTGGAGAGACCATCTCTGTCGAAGTCCAACGACTGGAACGAGAAAGACTGTATTATTTATTTGGGCAGACAAGGTATTCTGTCTCGTATGCGGATGGAGTTCTAGCTCCCTCAGCATCGCTGCCTGGAACTCACGACGAGACCAGGGCACCGTCCTGGAGGTCTGACTGGTTCGGACCGCCTCTTGCGATCGGAACGACGTCCGAAGCTTCTGAAGTGCAACATGACAGCGCAAATCCAGTCCGAGTCGACGACCGGAACTTTCTCTACGCGAATCACGGATTACTGCGTTCTGATCGAGAAGTATGTCTCAAGTAAAGGCGATGAATGCCGACGCGGCAATAGCAGTCCGTAGCTTGGTAGGTAACTCGGTTTCCACAAACGAGAGGCTAGCCATGAGTCGAGCGGAGCGCTGACTTTCTCTTGGGAAAATTTCACACCTACCTACGCCGCGATATCGGAAGGAGCTCTAAATACAACATCGAGACGCCCTCCGAAGCTCGACTTAGCATAGAACAACGAGCACCGATAGAATTGCCCGCAGACCGGCGAGTCCGGATCGAATGCTACGCAACCGACGGGCTCAAACTTCTGGAGCATGTATCCGTGTTTACTGATTACAATGGCCAGCGAGACACTAAATGGAATCTTCGAGTAATCCGACCGCTGCTGGAACTGTCAGAACCAGGCTCGGATCGGAAAGGCGTCGCATTTCGAGTCCTTGAGAGGATCAGGGAAAACAAACAGACGGGCTGGCAACGAAAGTGACAGCTCCGCTCAGCTACTCTCAAAAAGGGCATGAATTAACTGATGAAAAAGGGATGTGAATTAACAAGGTCGGAGACCCCCGTCTCCTCTCGTGGTTCCGTGAGAGGAGTCGATCATTTCCGGAAAGAGCTTGGGCAAGGTCTCTAATTGAGCATCCGGTCTCACCTCGCCCGACACATCCGAGTAGCATACTTGGCATGCCAGCTCCCGAATAGTCGACTCCATAAAGACCTTCGTACACTTGAGTGGATCGACGCGTCACTTGAAAGGTCCTATAGTTCCCTTCGGGTCTCTGCGGCGCCGCCGGCCCCACCGCTGGGCATTGGTGCTCCTGCAGGACACTCACAAACACTCGATTCCAGCCTTACGACTTGCTGGTAGTAAGTAAAAGCCTGCCGTCGACGCCACGAAGGGAATACATCGATATTGTGACTGGATTAATGGTTGACGCGCTCCGCCAGCACCGCTCCGCCGCCGTTGCTGCCGTCGCCGCCGCCGCCTTTAAAAACACCCGAGGACACAAGCGGCTAATCCACTTCAGGATCATCACAGTTTCAATGCCAGCCGACACCGTCATCGTGCCCTCGAGATCACGTCTGGAATTCCTGAATTTACTACGCGGGCTTCACAGTGGATCGGGAATGATTTCGGTTCTGTGAGTTAGATTTGCATGCGCGGCGAGAAACACGCACTCTTCTCGGTCGCCCGTTCCTATAAGTGCTTCGGAATTGCGGAACGGAATCTGGAAATGGCTCACTATTACAATTTGACAAAGAGGTTTATTTACTAGTCACGAAATTGTTCGCACGCATAACAATTGCTCCAAGGAGTCATTTGGAGCGCCAGCCGCGTCTGTTCTGCCTGTTGCGGACGAGCTGCCGTTTGAGACGGTCGGGCAGTCTTCCACCCGTCTAGAAACATGGCTTTGCGGTCTTCGTCGGCAAAGAGACAAAACTCCCAGAAGAATCTCGCTCTCACTGTCATTCGAGGATCTCCACCCAAACTTCCTGCTCCTATTCGAGTAGTGAACGGATCACGACGTTCGGATGTCCCCACGACTCGAGAGTTCAGTCATTTCGTAATTCGTTGAACTCGCATTTCGCATCGAATAATTGCTCCTCCCTCCCCAGTGCTCGACGCTGTTTCGGCAGTACGTCTAGAAATAGCGAAGCGTCGGATTCGATCGATGCCGGCAGAGCGCATCCACTAAAAAGATTCATAATCAAGTGACCGGAATCGACGATTGGAAGGCTTCAGCCGGAAGCCCAGGGTCCGCCAGCAGCGAAACAAAGCAGAGTGCGTACAAAACTACAGCGAGCTAGCACCCGAGGGCTGACTCGTCCCGGTTCGACTCATTGTACTACCTCTTGGATATATAGGGCGATAGTTCGCTCAGTTCGAGACGACGCTCGTTTCACCTCGGTTTCGGGCCGCTCATCGAACTAGACTCTCCTCTGCGTGCTGCATTCGACCGACAACACTCTAGCGACACGGACTACGCTGGACGCGGGGACACGCTTCAGAACTGTCAAACTGGAGCCGCATGCTGGGGGTTCCTTACCTCTTCGAGGTTCGCGACCGTCTGTCGGCAGTCATTGATACGGTTGACAAACTGCGAGGTGGTTGGACTGTTATAGTCGTCGAGAGTTTCCGCAACGAACTCATCCACCGAGAGCTGCATCTTGTCACTCGTTCCGGGAACGCGGCACACCGTATCCTCCCGTGAGGCAGCTTTCCGGGCGGAATACTTCCGACTGCCTTGCGAACTATCGTCGAACACAAATAAATCCTCCGATATCTTTGTCCTCTCTGGTGGTCCTCGTCGATCGGTGGCTGTCGAGATCACATCACTTCAGAGAATTCTGTTGCACGGTAGTCGGTCACACACTTCGCACACTCGGGTCGCACACTCGACTGAGCGAGATTACGTTTTTTGTTACCGCCGTCACCGCATCTGTCAATCTCGTCAGGACCCTTGCTCCATGACTGCTGTTGTTGTTAAGATGGGAAAAACGTCCTTCTTGTCGTTGTTTTTGTTGTTGATGAAGAACAGCAAGCCGCCAAGCTCTGTTGCTGCCACTTCTCTTCTGTTGCTGTCGCTGCTGCCGCTGCTGCGGCTGGCGATCATCGGCGGCTGCTGCAACTCTTACTTCTCCCCGGCGGCGCCGGCGGCTACTTTTGGCAGCACCAGCACCACCACCGCTGAGGAGCACGGGCAGCTCTTAGACGACACTGGCCGTGCCTGTTGTGCTTCGCTCACTCGCAGGAAAACCGCGCGTAAGACGAGGAACGCGCTCTCGGTACGCAGAGGTACGCCAACGATAGGGTCGCTCTGAGAGGTATCGTCCCGGAGTGAGACAGGGGTGTCTGTACGTCCACCATCGTAAGGCACGGGTAGACGACAGAGACCGATGATGATCGTGATCTCTGCTGATCGGACTCGGTGTGCAAGGACGCCCAGGTATTTTTCCTACTGAGCGGAACATGGCGAGATACGCTGGGGACGAAAGTATTTCTCTCCCCGTTTCCCGGGTTTCGGGACGAGGAGCAGGGCGGTGAGGGGGGGGCATACTCGAGTCGATATCCGAAAATCAACCTCGACCTCGAGTAATCTTATCCTCATCATTCAATCAATGAAATTAACTGATATTACTTGTATTTAGTCTTCCAACCTTGTATTCACTCCGACGAGGGAGCACGACGCGTGAATGGAATTCGTAGCCCTCCTTCTAGCTCCCTCCGCTTCAGTCAGAATGCGGGCGTCGAGGAGCTTGTCGTATGGGGATCAAGCCGCGCATTCTCGGGACCTTCTGTCAATATCTCTTGAGGCCGTGCACCCTCAAGACTTTGTAATGAGGGGAAAAAGGAACCCGAGTTAGGAGAGACGCCAGAATTCCAAATATTACCCCGCATACCCCGATCGAGCTCAAGTATCGCCAGGGGAGAGCGAAGACGAAGAAGGAATCGATGCGAGAGCACTAGAAACAGCGGCATGAGGTAAAATATAGCATGGCTCGAGTCTGCGCCGCTTCCTCAGCTGACACTGCATGTTCGGCGGATCGAAAGAGGTCTGGTAGGATTTGGGAACCAATTCGGGGTAGTCGGCAGGGGACAGACACTCTATGACTTCAATTGCTTCCGTTCGGGCGAATGCGGATGATCCGGAGGGCTCTAGATGGTCTCCGAACCACAATTTACATATGCGCGTCCTACAGATTCGGACTTGCTCAGGAAAGTGTCAGACCATCGTTAGAAATTCAACCCACCCTCCCCCTCCATCCCCGCGGCAATCGCTCCCAGCCCATCCGATTCCGCTCAAAAATTCAATTATTCGGTGTTGGTCGCTCCCAGTCTCTGCTCGGTATGCCTCAAATTCGGCAAACTTGTATGGTTTCACCTGACCGAAGGATCAAATTTCGAGCCATATGGGTGTGTACTAGCTAGGATTGACGAAGGATATCAGGACAAGAGAAATGTTTTCGCCTCCGTTTTCTTTAATGCGCCCAAAGTAGCGTAACATATGCGGAAAACCACCAAGAACGAAGAGGTCGCTCCGCTTTGATCACGGGAGGCGCTGGTCTGCCTGAAGAGCATTTCGGAGATCCGTCTCGCTCACATGGCTTCATCTTCGTCGTCGAGTATATCGATTGGACACGGTGGTCGCCACCCTCCAAAACCCTTTTCCAGAGCTTGAGCGACCGCTATTGTGAGCCGGTCGTGGCTCCTAGGACGGATGAATGGTAGAAGTTAGCCAAGACATCGAGCGGCCACCCATAGAATGATCGATGCAAAGTGCAGATCGATGCAGAGAGATTCACTGACCTTCTTGCGACAATCGCGACTGAGAGCGGAATACCCTCGTCGTTCAAACCGATGGGACAGATCGTCACTGGCATCTTCATTACGCTGAATGGCGCCGTAAGCCCCAAGAAGCCTCTCGGATGGATTTGGCTCTGACAGAAAAGAGAATCGTGTACCGTGATCTCCGGCTCGCAAATACGTTATGTTACGACGCACTTCGAGGAAAGAATCGGATGCGAGCGAGACTTACCGCATGGTGGAAGGGAGCAGCGCTGAGCATTCCGGGGAAAATCAAGACACCGTTGTCGCCGAGCATAGAATTCAGATAGGTCTCCAGATCATCGAGTCTGCTGAGATCGTCCCTACGTCTCTGTTCGTAGCGTTTCTTGCGGTATCTCTTGTCAATCCAGGACATTCTTATAGCCGCTAGAGTGTGGTACGAAAGCCCTGCGGCCTTCAGGGACAGTTCTCTCTTCGGGTTTATTCCTTTCGGGGGTAGCTTGAACATGAATCTCATCGGCGCTACGCCGTCACGTTCGAGTGAGGCCATGAAGAAGCTGAACCCATCGCGGAAGAGTTCCGTGCTCATCTCTTGTATGTCGCAACCATGCGTCGCAGCGAGGTACGAGACAACTCTCCGAACGGAATAACGCATGTCGGATCTCACAGAAGAAATATACGCCGCGCCCTCCTCATCGGCATAAAAAACGTTCAGCTTCGAAATGTCTACCTGCAAGGAAATTCTCGGTTTTGTTCGACAAGGGTCGATTCGCACCCGAAGCAAGAAAGGCAGCGAGCTCGTCAAAGGGCAACATTGATCCTCTTCCATCTTTTCTCTCGATGTCCACGAACCGGAATGTCTAGCTGCAGCTTCGAGGGGTTCTTCGACAGATGTTTGAGAACAGTACTGAGATCTTCAGCGTAGCGGACCATGGGGCCGATGCATACGTATTGGCCCACTTTATGACCCGGATCGGGGCGTATGCCTTGGATGTCCACGACTTCCGGTGACGGTTTGTGGCCGAACAGACCACACCAAGCGGAAGGGATACGAATAGAACCGCACACGTCGGTTCCTATTCCGATAACCGAACCAGCGGCCGCGACGAGAGCACCCTCACCGCCTGATGATGAAGAAAATAGTAACAGCAATAATTCATTATGGGAAGCCGTCTGAAGGATCAAGGCATCAATGCTCATGATGGTATCGAGGCTAAAAAACAAAATGAATCACCACTCGATCCTCCGCAAGTCCTATTCACATCGTAAGGGTTGTTTGTTCGTCCATGGGTGTGGTTGGACGTTTCGAACCAGAAAGCCAGCTCCGGCACGTTCGTCGCGCAAAGTGGGATCCCTCCCGCAGAGCGGAGCATCCGGATGCAAACGGCATCTTGAGGGCATTTTTCTCCCTTGTGTATCATCGAGCCCACGTCTCCACATTGCCCTGAGAAATTGATTTTGCTTTCAGAGCAGGATAACGCGATACTCAATGATGAGGAACCCAATCTCTTTTCGGATGGCCTCTTCTCACAGGTTAGGTCTGTTGCCACATGGGCTCCTAACCTTCAACAGAGTTCGATTCCTTCGTGGTGATCGGAACCCCGAGAAGAGGTTTCTCCTTGGCGATCTGTGACGGGGTGGATGTGCGGACGAGCTCGTCGGCACGTCGAGCTTCCTCCAAAGCGAGCTCGAATCTCTCGCTAACGACGGCATTTATTATCGGATTCACTTCACGAATCCTGGCGATAAAGACTTTGACGACTTCTTCCGAGGTGATCTGGAATTATCAGTGAATCAATCGTTCCCTGCCGAAAAAATGGAGTCCGCTACCCTCCAAATCGAATTTCCGAAGAGAATGCAGGGGTCCTTGAACCCAGTCCTATAATTTTAAGGAGCCGTCCAACTTTATGCCGTGATCAACCGTACTATCGTCTACACACGATGAAAGATTGCATCTTTGACGATCGACTATTTTACCGGCCGGATCGACTTCGATCGCCTATCGAGTGGACCTTGCCGGTCGCGTGGAACAGGGGCATCGATTTGCCACAGGCGGGAATGCTGAGGTGGAAATCGAGAATTCAAGAAAGGCGCGGCTTGGAATCATTACAACCCATTCCATATCATAAGCATTGGTGGATCTTTCCTGAAGTGACTACTGATAGAGTAGCTGAAAATAGCTCAATCTAGAAAACCTGACATTTTGCCAGACCTAAGAGAATCCTTTGAAAGACAGCGACTATCGTCTTCCTACGTGGGGTTTGACAAGGATAAGTTCGATAGCGAACGGGGATTCGCTCAGGATACCACCTTCCTTCTCGAAGAGAAACGGATCTCGTGGCGGAATTCGATGAGTTTCAGGCTCGACCATAATTCGGATTCTGGGGATCGAAGATCTCGCATCCTAACTCACCCTCTTCTCTCGAATGAGTGCAGCGATCTGGGTTCCGGAGTAGGTGAGTATGCGATCTCGGATCGCTGGTAACCGGTTCCGGCCATCGCGTTTGCCCTTGTGCCAAAGAAACTTGATAGTGTGGTAAATGAACAAAGCGAAACAATGTAACGCCTCCGAGAGAAACGTGCGCAATCGTCGAGCGACCATTGTGCTCTCGAGACGACCAAAGAGCAACCTTTGTGAGAGACAACAGAAATCCGCACCCTCTCCCACGAATCTCTCATCGCAATGGTATCAAAGAACATAACGGCAAGACCTCAACGAACATCCGCCGTGATGACAGCTGTCACATCGTATCGAGCACGTTTGAAACTTCGTGTGACCTCCGGGCGTTTCGACTTCGAACTCGCTAAAGTGCACAACGATCACCCCAATATATCGAGAATGCCCGGATATCCCCGAAAATGTTCCAGCCGTCCGGCGACTGACAAGACTTGAATTGCGGAGGTCATGATCATAATCGTTCCCTGAATATTCATTTCGAAGACTCGAGGCCGTTCAACGAGTTTTCTAGGAGGAATCTTCGACCTCCTCCAGTACCTCATCGGCTCCCCACCGCTGTCCGAACGCCGACGGCTTCTTCTCGAACATCTTGAGAATTGGGAGATTCCTAATAGTATTCACGACGAGGGGCCATATCATAAGATGCTCAGAAAGGACTTGATTATCCCATGTACAGTCAGCAGGAAATCGAGTTCTCTAGTGTTTGTTTGGTAGACCAATCGATCGCGGCTCGTCCACTAGTCGAGTGGCCACGCAGCGTAGGGTTTGAACTGTGTTCTGCAAAACGCTCTTACCAGTGATGCGGGTACCTCCTCAATCTCGTGACCCACTCTCCCTCCGCTTCCAGACTCTGATCAGTTGAGCTGCGGCTGGCAGAAAGTTCTCTGCTTGAATCATCATGGCCTACAGAGTATCGAGACCAGCCTGAAGTCCATTCCGGGAGACTTGACATGTCTTCGCGAATCCCGAGGAGCAATCCCTACTACAGCAATGTGTATTACGAAGAGCCTACTAAATTCCAGCGTCTGGGCCAATGCTGCCGCTCGTGTACCGCGTCGTTGATGTCACATTTTGGTCTGGTAACTCTAGTTGTATTCTACTGTGTTCTCGGAGCTTTTCTCTTTGAATACCTCGAAGCGCCGAATGAGGAAGCGAAACGCTTGGAAGTCATGTACAGAAGGGACAATGTTAGTGTGGATCTCTGGAAAATCACGAACAGGTTAGTTGGCCAGGCGGATAAGCAAAACTTCGAGTTGTCGTTGAAACTGTCTGCCCCAACTGGTTGCACTTCCAGCTCTCGTGTCTTGGAACACAAACAATGGAAGTCGGAGGCACTCCAAGTTCTGAAGAAATTCGAAGATCAGGTCGTTCGGGCGGTTCGAAAGGAGGGTTACGATGGCAACGATCACGGTGAGCCCCCACAGTGGAGTTTCACGGGATCCTTGCTATACTCAATCATCGTCATCACGACCATCGGTGAGAGATAGAGCCTGACGACATCCCGAATCGAGTCTGGGACTTCATTTCGGCCGGGGGAATTCTCGCCGGAGGGACATAGGATGTTCGACAGGTCTTCGTGGTCATGAATCAATTCGAAAGAGCTCGACTTCCAGGTTATGGAAACGTCGCTCCGAAAACACCGCAGGGCAGGGTCGTCACGATTTTCTACGCCATCGCAGGGATCCCGTTGATGCTGCTGTGTTTGTCGAACCTCGGCGACACGATGGCTCATTCATTCAAGTTTTTCTACAAGTATGTTTGATGTTGAATGAGGAAAGCTCCCCCGGGGATCGCTCCGGATTGCGGCACAGCAACTGACGCTTCTGCTTATTGACGAGTAGAAACTATCCTGATCTGAATATGTCTCAGCACTACCGGTATTTTCATTGTTCATCACCTCACCCCCGATCGACAGATATCTCTGCTGTGCGATGGTGCACAAAGACCGGCGGCCCCGCAAAACTCGATCCCGATCGCGGAGAGTCTACTCCAGAAATATGAGTTTGGGTGCTCTCCAAGCCAGCAGTCTCCCGGCAACGCCAACACTCGCAGCACGTCATTACGGTACCTTCTTAAGAATAAGTTTCCCTCCCGCGGGCTTCTTCACATTTTCTCGCGTATTGCGGCATACGATGGAGTCTGACACCACGAATCGATTAGCATTCAGTCTCTTCATCATTGATTCGCTTCATATGCTGAACTGCGCAATTGATTTTAGGTCAACCCCATCGTCGAGCTGCGAGCCTTCCCCGAACGAAGCCAGCCCCAATGTCGCGGAACGATTTGTGGAGCTCACAGATTATCGTAAATCGTTACATCAAAGATGATGATATGACGTTGACGTCGACCGTTGGAGCTGCTAACACTGTTCAACCTCAGGCTTCGCGCAGCGAACCTCTAGTTTTCGATTTCGGATACGAAAGCGGTGAGTACTTGCGATGGGGTTCTTGCCGGAACACGGAATATATTTGACCTGGAGTGTCGGAGCTAGAAGCGAATCTTTCCCAACAGAGTCGGAGTCCTCGAACGACGAGTACAACCGGAGAGAGGAAGACGCTGTTCCCTTATGGATGTGTTGCGGCATAGTGATCGTTTACATTCTGGGAGGAGCGTGGCTGTTCAAATACTATGAAGACTGGGATTATCTTGAAGGCTCTTATTTCTGCTTTGTCACATTGACCACGATCGGCAAGTTCATTCATCATTGATAATCAAGATGATTTCCTCCTCGATATTAGAGCCCGGGCTTATCGGAGTTCGGGGGAGGGCCGCGGCTCTACTCCTTCCCGTCTAAACTGATGGGATCTATTCTTGCAGGCTTCGGTGATGTGGTCCCTGGACAAACTATAAACGAGAAGGAAACCCAGACCTCGAGGCTCGCATCTTGTGCTATCTATCTACTGTTCGGGATGGCTTTGATAGCCATGAGTTTCAACCTGGTTCAAGAAGAAGTCAAGAAGACCGTCCGGAACATCGGGAAGCGGATAGGCATCGTCTCCGATGATGATGACTAGCACCTACTGAACTGTTACGCTTATCCGCGTTTTGTGTACATAAGGAGTGAAAACTCGACTCAAACACGATCCAATCTCTCTGACAACGAGACAAATCGCATCGTTTTCTGTCTTCTGAGAGCTCTCTGTAGCGCACCGGAGGGCAGGGGGTTCGCCCCGGGACAGGAGCTTTTTGGAGCATAAAACTGGCCCGAAGAAGGGTTGGAACACCCAAAGCCACAGGAAGTTTCAACTTATTGGATCAAGACTTATCTCGAATGTCCACGGTATCGTAGATAAGAGAGGGAAGCGTCTAAAAAATATGGGAAGAATTCGAGGGGGACATCGGATCGGGCCTCTGGCTGCGAATTCTGGAAAGTTCGAGCGGAAGAGTCGAGTTTCTTAACTGTGACGAAGATCGTTTGCTAGCTCGGAGAGGACTCTCTCTCTGTCTCCCGACAATCTATGCCATGTCGATCGAGTGTAGAACCTCAGGGACCGCTGAACATACGCATCGCGATTCGCAAAGCTTCTTTGAGGAGCTACGGACATCGGAGAGTACCAAGAGGAACGCCCTCGATGGACGCTTAGAAGCGGAATCCAACAGGAAGTCCTAAAAGATAAGATCCATACCTCCCATATATTCTGCCGGCCGACGGCGGCGGTAGGACGCTCCGGAGGACCCCACGAGCCTCGATAGTCTGCGCTACTTCGTAAGCGTCCGTCTCATCGAGTGACCTCTCCTATATCGGTGAGAGCGAGGCTTCGACCAAGACCCACTCCAAGGAACCAATAGTCTACAGCGAACTCTCATCTCCGGTTCTTTATTCCTCCGGTTTTCCTATGAATTCTAAATTTCGCCATCCAAGATTCTAATGATCCTCGTCCTCTTTGCCAGAAGCAGCCAGCTCGAGACCCTCCTGAATCAAACGCTGAGATTCTTGGTCGTGGGGCCAGAACGTCGGTTTGTCAGGATTCCAGGCAAGGTGCGGGAACTGTTCCTGGAAGTCCTCCATGGTCATATGCTCGAGAGGTACCATAGACGCGAGCCGAGCTGGAAATAGAGATCGAAGTTGGTTGATTCGCTATCACGCCTCGTCGGAGAACGAGCATAAAACAAGACGAAGAAACACCAGAAACCCCCGTTACCTTTTTCCTCCTCCAATGCTTTGATTCGCATATTGGAATCTCTGATCCATTCGGCGATGCTCTTCTTCGCTTCCTCTCCCTGCGCTTGGATCGTCGGGGTGTGTTTGTCCTCCGGGTAGGGAATCTGAAGAATACCACAGATAGAACGTTGAATGCCTCCAATCCTCGAAACCTCCTAGCCGGATGAATTCTCTCGCTCCGGTATCTGCGTGCGCCTCGCGCAGCTCTACTCCTTCTCACCTTGACAGCCTTGTACTTCTGCTCGAACTCCTCGGCGAGCTTGGGGTTGCCCAGTTTGCTCTTGTACATAGAGAAGTCGATGGCGGGAAGACCCTCGGGAAGCTCATGGACGATTCGGACGTAGTTGTCGCTCTTGTTGCGGAGAGCCGCGAAATGAGAAGTTTGATCCTTGGGAACCAATTCAGCGAATTTCGCCCAGTTGACGGCGGATTGGGTTACGCGACGAGCCATGCTTGCCGAAAATTCGCTGAAACCCGGCGACACCTTATTTTTTCCTGTGCCCTCGTTCCAGCCTTCTGTTCTGTGCTTTGAGAGGCTTGATTCACACTAAGTGTCGAGCTTTGGGAGTCCAATGACATCAGCTAGGTAAGTTCCGAAACTACGGTCGTGGCAATGATGGGAAATTGCAAGCTAAGACATGGATACGTCGGGAGGCTTTTTCCTCAGCCCTCCGAGCAGGAATTTGAGCGGGAATGGGGGAAAAATGGTTGTAAAGGAGAAGAAAACTCACAGGACACCACTGCACGCAGAAGGTCAACTTGTGTTCTCGGTGTCCGCACCGTCGGAATTTACCTTATCGTCTGCTCCGCCCGTAAACATCAGGACAGAGAGCCTCAGCGACGGTCACATCGAATCTCTATTCTCTATCGATTGATATGGAGCTCCGATGATGGCTTGTCTGTCCGTCGAATTCTTATTTTCGGAGATCTGAAGGAAGAGCGCGTTCGGATCTTGAGGGGGAGACGGGTGCGAGAATCAGCCGAGCTGATAGGTCTGCGCTTACCCGTCCGGCGGCCGACGGGATATATCAAACGAAAACAACTCTTGTACTCTTATTCGAAATTCAACTCTATGATTCAATAGACCACAGTCTGAGCTTTCAGTAGTCATATCCTATCGTAGGCTCAGAATGCCGAAAATCGTTTCGAAGTCCATCGTGTGCACAGATTCGAAAGATCAAGAGGAATACATCGAAAAACCCCTGAATGTATTCTACTGTCGGTGTGGAACGATTGCTGTGATTCTCGGTGAGTGCATGATTCAGTCTATTGAAGTGGTTTCGCTGACCAGCTGACCTTAGACAACGACACTGCAGGTCGGGCGTCCCATTCCGTGTTTTCCTCACAGATTGCTCTTTGGAAAAACTGCCACTGAGACCCCGGGACGGATCGAGAGTGATCGACGCTTCTAAGCACGTCCATAAAGTCAGCTGTGATCCCGATGAGACCGTTCACCTCAAATGGTAAGTACTCTCCCCCTGCTGCGGGAGTGGTTCGTCCGTGAGAGTCCTCTGATTACTGCCTTTGTTTCAACGTCCAATGATCTCTCCGTTTCCGAGTCGCCCGAGGGTTCGTTATCCACTGGAATTTCCGCTGTGACTGTTATCCGACCGTTCCAGGGATGAAGGGATAGAGAAGCAGCACCGGAAAAAATGCAGCAAGTGTGGACTGCCGCTGCTGTACTATCATGACAATTCAAGCAACATCTTCATCTTCAAGGTTCGACGCTCGCGGAAATGATTTTGATCAGTCGAGGCAAAGAGCCTGCACAAATGTGAAGATCCTTCAGCTCCAGAGTGAGCGCAATACGATTTTTTCTCGGTCTCTTGAAGGGTGTCTTGACGCGCACTGCAAACAAAGACGCGTCGGCCGTTGTCAATGAGCAAAGTCAACTCAATGTGGAACGGAAGAGGATTCTTGTCACGAAACATACGAAGAATATGGGGAAGTTCAGCTCTGTCACCGTCAGTACGATCGAGGACGAAGAGGATGAAATCGAAGAGGTCAGTATATTCGCGCCATTCAACGGTATTCAACCTGCGCTCGCATGAACAACTTTTCACAGAGGAGGAGCACAAATTTTCAGGCTGTCGAAAAAATGCTAAAAGCAGAGGATTGCCCATTCCTAATTCTTATGAGATGGCTCGAACTCTAGCTCATCGGTGACTCTCCGATTTTCAGAGAGAAATCGCGGACTCGTACGCTTCGAACGCTCGAATAATCGAGAAACAATTCAAACGGAAAGGCATGCTGAAACGGATTAATGAGGCGGTAAGTTTGGACCTTCTCAAACGTTTATTGCTCCGCGAGGGGATTTGCCGAAATCAACTTCTTGTTTTGCCCCAATTGCGCAGGACACCGAGAAGGAGAAGAAGAAGAAACAGCGTGGAACTCTATTGAATCTGTAATTTATCATCTAAGGGTGATCTGTACATGGAATGTAAAAAGAAAATAGCACCAATATTCAGAGAAGTAATGTGGTCCTTGTCCTTCGACGTCCAAAACTCTCCCTGAGAGTGATGGGATGGGGAATCTGATCCGCAGCGTGACCGCTTGGCGCCCCGACTACTGAAACTCCTCCTCTGTTGTCGTTTTATCAGTGCCGAATATCCTCCAAGAGGGCATGCGTAAATAGGAGCGATCGCTTGTGCTTATAGGCTCGACAGTTGTCCCGGACTTTCTCGTCTTTTTCTCGGGCTCCGCTTCCTCGGTCTCGTCATCTCGTCCATCGTCTTCGGGTTGATCTGGTTTTCGCCTTGCCCTATCAGCACCCCCGTTCCGCTTGAAATCATCATTTCCTTTCTCTGCATCATCGTCACCGACAACGGATTCTTCTGTCGTTCTATCGACTCTCTCATTCGCCCTCGGTCCGCCTCCATCGTTCCTTTTCTGATCTCGTCTCCAGTTGTCGGATCCCTCTGGTGCGACTCTCTCTTCCCCCGGATAGCGGAGACTTCCAACCGGTTCATTCGAGCGTGGTCTATCCCTGTCGTCATCGACCCGGGATCTATCTTCCCTGTCCTGGTATTCATCTTTGGCCCTATCCGGGGATTCCTCTTTGCCTCTATTCCCGATACCTCCCCGACCGCCCTCGACTTCAGACCTTCCTCTGTCTTCTCTATCCCGAGACTTGTTGCTAGTGCGGGACGTATCCACATCTTGAGAGCGATGATCACTCGGAGGATCTTTATCGCGTTGAACGAGCTCTTCCTCGCGGGCTCGATTTCCATCGGTTCGATTCCCCTCCCTAGCACGATCACCTTCATCGTTAGGCCGCCTCCGATCCCCGTCCCTGGGCTCATAGCTATCTTCTCGAGAAACATACCGAGGCAACTCGTTAATTTCCACTCTCACCGAGTCCGGTGTTTGCGTAGCGAAAGGATCAGAGAGAAGATCTATCTTAACACCAATATTCGATTCAGCCTGCCTATCAGTGACGTCGTGATCTGTAACATTAGGCACGAGTGCCAGGAATCCGATGCTCAAGTTGATAAATTGCTCTTCGATTCGATACTTCCCGTTCCCAGGGATCCTGATGTTCTTGAACTTCTCGTTGAATTCTTCGTTCGGCATATTGTGACGTTCCCTAGGAGACTCTCCACCGTAGCTGCTCTCGTTCGGTTCTCTGCCAGAATTTCTCGCCCGGTCTCGTCCACTCTTCGAGCCGTTATCCTCGTCGCCGTGTCCCGAATCTCTGTTTCGGTCCGGATCGCTTCCCCGGTCTTTGTCGTTCATTCTATCACCTCCCCTCATCCGATCGCCATCTCCTCTCCAATTTTCGTCCCTGATCCGGTCGTCTTCCCTCAGTCTATCCCGGTACCGACCCTTTTGGTCGTTTTCCCCGAGGCTCTCATCAGCTGGACCGTCAAACTCATTCCTTTTGGAATCCCTCTGACGGTCTCCACCATTGTTCTCCCTGTCGTAGTCATTGGATGAGTTCTGACTCACGACTCCGGTCTCATCCTCTCGGATATCCTCTCCGCGTTGCCCACCATCGTCTCTGCGATTTGTGTTTCCGTCCCTGTCTCTATCTCGATTCGTGCCTTGGTCTCCGTCCCTATCCGCATTCCGCCGCCTACCCGGACCATCCTTTCTGTCTTCATCCGGTCCCGCGGGCGTCTCTCTCGCCCGATCCTGCCTACCTTCCGAAGCCCTGTCCTGGTCTCGGTTTTTCTCCCTGTCGTCCTTTGAGCGCTCATCTCCCCTACCGCTCTTGTTTCTCCCTTCATTCTCCTTCCGTCGGTCATCTTCAAGTCTATCTGCCGTGGAGTCATCGCCGTCGATGGTGCTCTTGGTGGACATTTGAATTCTGTTTTGCCTCTCATCTCGTTTTCCATCTTGTGCTCCCTTGGTCTTGGAGGCAGTGGTCTCCCTCCGAGGACTCAGAGTGGTCGTCGAGTTCTTTCTACTCAATGGTGTCGATGTGCTGTGCTGTGTTTCGTTCCTAGGCGTGAGCACGACGCCGAAGTTCGAGAAAAAAGACCGCTGGGCCGTTGAATTAGCATTAGATGAAGCATTCCCTTTCTTTTTTGAGACCTCGGGGAATGGAGTCGAATCTTCTCTCTCTGACCATTCTCTCCTGAAGCATTGATCGAGCGTCTTATCTCCCTGGAAATATGAATATTCAGACTCAAGCTCTGTTCTCAGCCAGTCTCCAATGCTCCTATGCGTATTCCGAATCGGGATCGACCTACCTCCTTGACGAAGCTTGTGGGGTTCATCGATTCAAATTTCGAAAAACTGACACAGCTTTTCAGAGCGCATGGATTCTTTTTCTTGCACTCCCTCAATTTCTTCAGATAATCGAGGTATTGGTCGAGCACCGTAGCAGACTTATCCGAGAATCCATTGTCGAAACAATCCATCGTCGTATCCACGAACTTCGATAAGCGCTGGAATAAGCAGAAAAGCTTGACCATGCCATGCCTACGCGACGCGACGGTGCCTCATGTAGAGACCGTTATCGACAGCACCCTGTTTCGTCGAATAGTCGTTCGAGTGAGGGAAGACCGATTGATATCTTACGTATTCGTCAGCTGGGGGGCACTCCTTCGCTGGACTGAAAGTTTCGTTGACGACTTGCTTTGCGTTCTTCACGAATCGGTTGAGCGTTGCCTCGTCTACTTTTTTGTACTGCTTCTGAGAGAAATAGAACTTAATACTCGGCAAGGGGGAGAGTCAGCGAATGAATGGTGCGGAAGCCAAGAAATTCCAGGGAACTATTTTCTGAGCTTCCTCTTCGAACACCATTGCTTACCACAATGTCAGGGAGGCAATCAGTTGTTCCGTCGGGACAGGTTCGTTTGGCGTTATCCTTCTTCTTCTTCGAAGACTTCTGGGATACGACGGAGGCGAAGAGAGTTACTATGCACAATAATCCGAGATGTGTCTTCTTCATTCTTTCAAGGCCTATGTATCGATGCGGCGGATCTCTTGAAGCGACCGGGTTCTATTCTAGTCGGAAGGTTTGCACTAGAAGCTGTCCTCATCGACTTGGAGAGGCTTCCCTCAAGATGGCGATATCCCCCAGTCCATGCTTAGGAGAGGTCTGCGTCATGAACCAAGGAAACTGGATTCAAGGTTCAGATATCATCGGATTGAGTGACATTCGTCCGACAACCCCACGATTCTTCACATCAATCCAGCGGATACGCTAATGACGACCCGAAACACGACTACAGAAGTGAACTGAGCGAGGAATCTGAGTATGGGTTCATGGCATCAAGGCTTGGGAAACGATGATGCCGGTACCGTAGTATTTCGAAAAGATGTTCCCTCGCTCGAGGAGATGCAGGGAAGCGTGAGCTCGTTATTAAACGTCTCGAGATCTCAGCAACAGGAATGGGAGTGTTTGAAAAGTTGGCACTATAAATCATCTGAAACTCAAACGAAGATCAGCGACAGGATGTATTCATCTCTAGTCGGACAGTCGGCGCAGCATGATTCTGAGAAGACGTGGGAGATCTTCGATCTCCGAATTTCTCGTTGTTGCATCCAAAGCTGTCTTCCGGCACAGCGGTCCCTTTTTGAGCGAGGTGACAATAATTTTCGTGAGTGAATAATGATACATGATCTTATCTCGAATTCAACGATAGAGAAACCGAATGGCCCTCCCACGACAGGAATTCATGATTTTCCAGGACTTTTCGTCGTTTTGCTCTCTCGCTTCTACGAATTTCTTGCGTCTGTCGCTTGGCAGGGTCTAGCGTGGCCGACAACAGAGAATCGAGGTATATGGGATCTGCCCTTCGGAATCTGTCCCAATCTGTATGAGGAATCGAGTCACAGATGATGATCTGGGCTGGGAATTTTTCGGGGGCAATCGCCGCCAAATTCGCGAAAATTCACGGCCTATCCGAGACAGCCAAAACATCCCGCGAAAATTCAGGGGAAAATCGCTATCCGCGGAAAGTCCCCAGCCGTGGTCATAAGTCATCGGTTCCGATGACAAGAGACATTTCCTATTCAAGAAAAACGATTTCTTGACATAGGATGGGGACCGTCATTCTTGAGTTTTCTACCTGCTTCGCTCTGAATGCCGTGCCTTGGTGTTGTGAACAGAGTGATCGCATAGCTCAGAGCGATCCCTTCTCCCGGGCGTAGGGAAAGCGCTCTCACCCGGCCCGCTTGCGAGTGGCTGCAGTGCTCTCGTAGAGTTCCGACCAGCTGAGGGAAGGGTGATTCGTCTGCTGCTCGGATAAGGCTCGTAGTCCGTGTTTTCCTCTCGAAGACTAACGGAAAAACAACCGGATTCGCAGCCTGTGGTGCGCGATTTCTCCTCTTTTTGTTCTTATTTTACTCTGTTGTACAAGCGAGGTGCGACGATGTTCGAACAAACCTCATCGAGCTCAGGTTATCCAAATCAGACAGTCCGAACATCTCGTCGGTGGAAACCCACTTTTTAGGTGAGCATGGTTTTCCGGAATGAATTGCCTGTGAGAGTTGCCGAAAAAATCGGTATGTGGCCGAGAGCCCCGGGTGGAAGCCAGGGAGGACGGAGCTCGGGCGATATGGCGCTCGAAGCCCAAGCGGCGGATCCGGAGAAGCTTAGAACTCATATACGTGATCGAAAGGAGACTTCCCGGAATGGAGACTCCGGCTCAGGAGCCAAATATGATGAGCGCAGAGCCATAAATTAAGGAGCCATATCGACGATTTCCGGGCCTCACTTCTTGAGTCCCTAACTCGGAGGTCTCTTCTCGCGTTTCGCAGCGAAACTCTCCTGAAGTCCTCGGAGATATTATCCCGTTTCGAAAATTGATCACTGAGAACGGGGCTGTTTCTCATCCTCAAGTTTGCTCCCATGCGGTGCCTCGACGTTGCCCGCTCTCCCCCAAGAAAGCTCTCGACCTTCCGGATCCGAACCCTCGGTCACTCTCTTAATGAGATTATATTACGCTTCCAGAATGAGCCTCTGGTGATGCCCGTCACCGAAGTGTCCTCTTGTCCTCTCCCTTGCGGCAGCACCACCCGTCAACTGCCTGGTAGAATTTCTCTGTCGTCTCCCGCAGAGATTTCCCATGGCGTACGTATTGCTGCCGAGCGAGCTGCCCTTCTGGCCAGAAGTTCTGAGTCAAATCTCTCTTCTGCGCAAGTCACGTGATGCCTCCCAAGTCGTGGATGTCCTCAGGAACATCTATCGGATATGCAGGTTTGTGTCGCGGGATACGGAATCATCGAATTGCCTATTTCAAGTTCCCTTTCCATGTGAGATTCAATCGCGGATACACTGCCAGTCTGATCGACAGGATGGTGGAGTGGTCAGTCCGTCTATTGTTGCTCTTCGTGCGTGAGAAAAATATTACCTGGAGGGAAATTCCGATTTCATTCCTCGGCTCCTCATTTCGAAAATATGCCGGTAGCCTGCCAGGGAGCCTGGCAGCGGCTTAAGGGTTCCCGATCATTGCATTCGGGCTGCCGTCTGCTCCACTCGGATACAATTTCTCCGAGGAAACCCTGCTCGGGCACGACCCCTCCCCGGAGAAGCCCCTCAAAGATTGGCTGCTGGGTCCCAATGTCCGCGAGTGGTCTTCACTCGGTTCACCAAATCGGGATCATGAGCGATTTCGCGTCGGGATGAAAGGGCCAAGAATCAGTGACGAAAGGAAAAAAAATTACAGCGCCGCCATCGACCAGGACGAGAGGCCACTGGAAGATGAGATGCGATTCGACTTGTGCGAAAGCTTCCTCGAAGATTACGACGAGTCCTCCGACCTTCTCAATGTGATAGTGCCCACGATTGTGGACCTGGCCAGGAAAATTAATGAACTCCGACCGAAGGCCTTCGTTTACTCACTTCAAGCTGAAGGTAATACGCTGCGCGTTCAGGAGTAGAAAGTCACGTCCCTGCCGCTTCGCCGGATGGACCCGGTCTGGCCATGTATGCCTCGTGTGTTCAATTCGAGGAGCAGGAATTTTACAGCTCGACAACTAATCTACCTTTCGCAGAGGGGGACTGGGAATTGTCCCGTGAATTTGTTGCATCCCTGATGGCACACTCGTTTCTATCGACGTTTCCAATGCGCACCTTCAAAAGCCATCCTACACTCCAGGACTTCAACCGGAGCTCTTCCTATCGATTTCTCACTCTGTGAGTCGTTTCATCTTTCTCTTCTCCATCTAGCCACACGCTCGTTCCTCTTCATTCCTTTGACCTAAGATGCGGAATGCTGACGGATGAACCTTATCTCGAAATCCGCAGGGATCAGCACAAGCAAGGCTTGACAAATCTCTTGCGATACTTCAAGGAGGTGCGATGCCAAATGGACGGCGTTCTCCGCGTCAAGAGAAGGTTCGTCGCAGCTTCGGCAAACGAATAGACAATCGCTCACTAAGTGAGTGGTGGGACTCCACACTCATCTCCGCTGAATGTTTCTCAGAATTCTCCTGCGGGAACCGCCGTTGACGGAATGGGTATGTTCACCCCACCAGCTGTGTCCCCTCACCGTACGGCACGTCGCACGCCTTGAAGACGCTGAACTTCACCTCTATAGAGTGCTTCCAATAAACGCTGATCTGGGCGTGCTGAAGACGACCAACTGTGCAGGTGAGAAACGCGCATCCGTCAGTCTCACCGAGGCGTCTTTTTTCGCCCTTCATTCTGCGCAATCTGAATCTGTCCCTTAACCCCAGCATGAATTTCCGCATTCCAGAGAATCATTTTCTCTTGGGGTTGCCCGAGTTGTCCGTTCTGCAGTTGTTCGTAGAGGTTCCCAAAAGCAATGAAGTTCTCGTCGTGGAGGGTATTAGGCCGTTGAAGGTGTACAAACCTCTGGGTCGGACGCCCGTTGACTCGGGATTCCTTTCGACCGAAGAATACCAACTCAATGTAAGAGAACCTCCATGGAGCGAATTCGCTCAACGAACGTGACTCAGCTTCGACCGACTCGTATTTCCTCGATCACGACTGTATTCTCGATATACCCTCGACCACCCTCCGTTCCAGTCAGCCGGTGATTGCCAGCTCGGGTTGCTGGATAAAATGTCGTTCGGTAAAGAGTTTCTGTACCGTCAGTACCTGGATGACTCGCTCTTGTTCAATCTTAATAAGTGCCTTAACGCATTCTCTCAGGTTCGTAGACGTTTCACATGATTGATTGGCTCGAACTCACAGAGAAACAGTGCCTTCGATACTGAGCGCAAGGTTCACCTCTCCCGCAGGCGGCGAAGAGGAACATCAATGAAGACTTCAGTAGGAGATCAAGCACGAAACGATCAGAGCACGATGTACATAGTCGTCGAGACTCGGACCCGAGGCAAGCTGAGAGATCTGTGCGAGAAAACTCCGCTAGCTCTCCGCTGTGAGTAACTGCAACACGGGACGATAAGATTGCCAGACAAAGATTCCAGTGGAGGCTCCTTCGATGGATCTCGAGATCTTCCTTTTCCCGCAGGCGAGAAATCGCATCGAATCAGACACGGCCGTCAATCGAACAAAACGCGAGCTCCGTAGAGAACGTCCTGAGAGACGCAGACGAGGACGAAATCGATCCAGAGTCGAAGGAGGTATGGATACGGCTTTCGATATCTTGCCTGCTTCTAGCTGGATTGTTTCTCTCGCTCATCGTCGCTGCTATTCGCTGCTAGGTGCTACAGAGACCAGTCGCTCGACATTTGATCACGGAAACCCTGCTCCAAACTCAACAACTACTGAATTCGCCGAAACATCCATCGCCTAGACCTCGCAAGAGAGCCGTTAGCACTTCAACCAAAGGCTCTCGCGGAAGTACGGTACGGCGAGATTACTGAAACCGCAGTGGCAATTCTTTTCGGTCAAGTCGTAGCTTCTCCTTCTCCGAGTGAGCTCATTCCGCGTTATGGTGGCGCTCAAATCGCTACCCAAGCTGATCGCGACAGAGCTCCCAGTAACCCCATGTTGATATCGTTCCAGGGTGTGGAAGATTCCGAGACATTATTGAGCCGGCCTCTCGGCCAACCTCTAATTCTTCCGAGGCCCCTCGAGGTTCATCCCCCGAAGCCAGGTGACTCGAATGAAAGCTTCTTGTTCCCGAAGGTCCCTCGGAGGAGCTCAAGACTGTCTGTAAGACGAATATAATTCCTCTTCTAGGGTATCAGGACAAGCGGCCTCCGAATCTCAACATCATTGCGCGAACACAGATACTGTCTACGCCCCCAGTTTCCTCTCCCAGACGCATTCCAAGGTGAGTCGCGACCCTTGAAATCGGTCAGTCAGACATGGCTTAGAATGTCTCTCGACCTCGAATCCCCATCGATAATGACGCCATTCGCCACCAGTCTTCAATCAGAGGATTCTAGAGGCTCATTCCGCACGGATTCCGGGGATCAGGCCAACTTGCCTTTCCGGCCTTCAAAACGGCCCGATGAGATGATTCGTGTTCTATCGAAGACATCGAGAGGATCCTCCTTCAAAACGTGAGACCTGAGCTCTTCCTACATGATCGAGAAGTTCAACATCTTGCTATCGTGACCTCTTTCTTCCCCACAGGTCACTTTCAAAACGATGTAGTTGGCAAGTTTCAGCTGAAGATGATTATTTCACCGCGGAAGAGTCTCCTGACGACGAGGAGGATCCACCCTCGCTGTCGAAAACGTCACACCTCTTTAGACGAACGCACTGGAGATCGGCTCGGTCTAGATCGAGTCGCACATTTGACTCGGAGTTGAGCAAGCAGTCCTCTTTCGAAGTTGGACCCATCACGCGACACTTCCAACGAGAAGATTCCACGGGCAGCGCAGGCTTCGTTTTAGAGCGATCTTCACGTTTAAGCGAATCGGATGTTGCGTCAAGTGCTGGACGACTCTACAGAGACTCGCGGGGTCAATACCTCAGCGCCGAGCCAAATTACAATCGCTTTAAGAAACGTCTGCAGAAGCAGACCTTGAGGAGCTCGAAATCACGTTCTTTCCAACGATCTTTTGAGCCACGCAACTCGAGGTGAGCATGAATATTCATCTGTCCCCGTCCACGGAAAGTTGTTGCTCGGATCTCGGAAGGTTTCACGCTTTGTCCCTAATGTCTTCAGTGACGCAAGCTCCGGGAGCGATATGGAGGATATCGTCGAGGATCCTGAGCTCATCAGTCCACTTCGACCTTTATCCTCATTGTTCAGAAGAGCCAATTCCGAGCCTACGCTGACCTGCAGTCAAAAGAGAAGAAGTCCCTCGGTGTTGAAAATTCCAACGACGATTTCCCATGTAAGCTGGACGCTCACCTCAGAGATACCTTGGTTCGAGAGAATCGTTCTGCATCGAGGTAGTCGATTCTTCCTGCTTTCAATCGATCCGATTTCCCAAGAACGTCTCTGACTTTCCAGTCCTTGAGTGAAAAACTCAATACGGTGTTTTCCATTGCCGTCGAGGGTCGTTGGATTCCCAAAGCGTATTCCTTCGACGGCGTCAATCCCAATCTACCTGTTCCCTTCAAAGTGAGTGCGAGACCGGGGATCTCATGAGCGAGAGTGGAAGGACAGTTAATGAAAAATCAAAACCCATTTTCGTACAGGCGAAGTTCCGCTTACGGAGGAGGAGGAGTCCCAGCGCGGAAGACGGTATCGTACGCCACGCACTGACCAAAGAAGACTTCGACTACATCAAGAGAGTCGTAAGTTCGGGGGAACTCCGAATTGTGACACGGTGGGGATGCGCTGACCTCAAGCAACCCTCTGAAACATGATTTACCTAACCCTCAGGCCAGGAAAGAGAATCGACCGGCGTCATTGGCGGATAGTCGAGACTCCTCAAATATTCAGGAGCTACAAAGGAATGAGCTGAATCAGAAGGTTAGCCCAATCTGTCGGGGTTCTTCCCGAAGAACTTAGCTGCCCATGACGGGGTTCTACGTAGCCAACGCGCGAATGGTCTTGTACCATTGTGGAGAACATGATTTTTTTCCGCAAGCGGCAGCTCTCGATCGAGAGTTTGCGTCTCGTTGTGCTCATATGCATTGTTTTGGGTTGGACTCTCTTTTCCAAGTTAGGGAAACCGTGTACAGAACTCGTATGGGGGATTCAGGACGCTTCGTTCTTCTAGATCTCGCCTTCTCTCGCCGAAGGCAGTACACTCCCGGTAGCTTGCACGCTGTGGGCTCCAGGAACTGAATCAGATCATGACGCTCAACTGGAAGCCCTGACTTTGTGGCTCGCGGCTTCGAGTGCTAGCGTGCCTCACCTAGTAATCTACACTCATGGAGAGTCGCGATTACAACACGTAAGGGGAAAGCTTGAGGGAATTTTTCCGCATAACTCCTCCGGAGTCTTCGGCTCTCTTCTTCCTTAGCGGAAAATAGAATGAAATCTGAACTGACTTCCAGCTCACCGACGTAGCGGCCAAAGCTCTTGAAAGACAATGGACATGCGGCGACCTTGCCGGTGAATTGGTGAGGTTTTGCCGGAATCGCATGTCCATTCATCGGGGCACGGGACGAGTCTCAGCCGACCTCAACCTCTTCATGCAAATATTGCAACCGAAACCATCCTAGCTAGACTTGAGGGGTTCAAGGTGTTGGATTCGGAACAGGGTTGTATATGGGGTATATTTCTGTTATGCAAAACAATGGTGATGATCGAAAGCAATACCTCCTCGTTGAGTACGCTCAGGGGCATGAAACGGAGTCCACTAATTCGACGCTCTCTGATGCAAAGAGCAGGGTGAAAGTTTCTCTAGACCAAGCCACTCAGGGTGCGCGCTCCGAGATTACACTGCGTGGAATCTGGAATTCGCTTCTTGTAAAGCGGCAATCTCTCCAGTCCGTTGATGGCGCAGCCGAATGTGGATGCCTAAGTGAGCGAGTGAGAATGAAATGGTTGCTGCACACCTCGTATCCGTGACAAATCGCAGGTCAAAATAGAGGATCCTCGAAAACGACACGGTCCCGAGCTCCGAGATTGATACTCGAGCGAATTCTTCCCTGGATGTACCGCGTTCAGGGAACATTTCCTTCCTATGTTTGTAGATGAGCGAGTGCTACTGAACCGATCGAAGTACCGCAGTAGCGCATTCGGTACCGCTCGGTGTGATCATTTGGTGCCATACAGCCCTCGAAAGCTTCCCGCGGATGCTTCAGCACACAGAGTTGCCCATGTTGTAGCTTGAGCCAGGCAAGCACAGAGTTGTAGGGAGAAGTCTCCGGAAGTCGACCTTTGCTAGAGCATCGGACGCTGATGCGATTTCATGGACGCGCAAATGCCAGAACATGCAATAAACGAGGCCTTGATGATGTGCATAAGCCTCTCACTTTTTGGGGTAATCGCAAACGCCTCCGATAACGGAAGAGGTGAAAAGTATCCGTTTTGTTGCGAATTTCGTCAAGGAAGGAACGAATTTTGGAAAATTGACAGTTTTTGAGGAACAAATAAGATGCAGGTTTCCCCCCAATAGACCTGACTTATTCAAATATTTACTCGGTCATGCGGCTTTCGCAAATCATTCTGATGTCCCATCCCATGCCGATCTGTGTGGATTCAGCAGCCACCCCGACTCCTGGAAAATGATCCCAGTTCACACTCCTTCGTAATTTTTCCCGGCGAGACTGTTGAATCGCCGAATTTGCAGTTTATATGGCCTCAGGAGCCCCTTAGCAAGCAGAAATGATCGGAGTCCAACGCGGAATAATATTGGCGTCTCGCGGATATTGGAGGTAAAATCTCCTCCAAGACATACAAGATTTATTTATGAAATCCCGTTGTGGTACCGAGCTCAAGCGCCGGCTCGTAGAAAGGTCTCCTGAGAGGATATTGTCCCTGGATTCGGTGTTTCATCTTCCTCTATCCCTCCAATCATCACCAGTCGTAAGTACAAAAGTCTCCGTCGCAGGTCTGACTGCGGTTCGATCGAATAGGACTTGACTCTACACATTCGACCCCGTTCCTGTCGGATTGACTCCTAGTGACTCCTATCAGCCCACACGCAAAGTTTCTCGCTTACATCAAGCCGAATCCCTTAGAATAAGAGATCGCTTTGAGCAATCTCTCCTTGAGTTTCTCCCTAGACGAGTACTCGGGCAGCAGGAGCACGTTGAAGCAAGTATGCGAGGACGGGAGCCGATCTGAGTCCGGTCCGTGTCTCGTAATGATCATCCGCAGCTTCGCGAGCCCACCCACCGGAACTCTGGAAAATCGTAATCGATATGTAAATTCTTGATCCAGGTGTATTGTTCTATCACTACTATTATACTCTTCTTGCTCCATATTCTTGCTCCACTGTATTCGTTATATGGAATATTCTCTCGCTCCGGAAGCGTACCGGTCACTTCCAGTGGTGAACTGCAGGAACTGCTTCTTCTCCTCGTCACTCATTTCATGGACAACTTCCCAAAACCATTTGATCACCTAGAAGATAAAGAAACATCGTTGAAGCCGAGGCTGGCTCTCAAGCTCGATCATGAATAATAAAGAACGTATGAAGAAATCCATCGAGCTCTTCGGGAGAGGAATCCTCAGAGAATCACACAAACCTCGCAATCAGCGGAATACCCATCGTATTCACAGCTCTGTTGCAGCCCCTTTGAATCGAAATCTTCTTGCCCACATACCAGAAGCTCCAACTTGAATGGGATGGGAAAGTTCAATTAGCCGTCGAATGAAGGATTCGGAGTAGAGATTGAGCGCGGAATCCAGATGGGAAGATGATGATTCGTTATATTCACCAATTACCTCTTCCGGACTGAACCATTTGGTGAGCTTGCTGTCCTTGGTGACCATATCGAATCCTTTTTTGAAGGCATTGAATTGTCGTTCTACCGACTTATTCAATAAATAATCCGCGTATAGCTCCACGAATTCGACCTGCGAACACAAGACGTCTCAAGAGAGGCAAGGCCCGCGAGCACTCCCCACCGTGGAGCGATACCGCCAATTTTCGACTCGAATATACTTCGATGATGAGCTGACCTTGTTGGTGTGATCGACGCGAATACCATCTCCTTCTGCTTTGAGATCATGGCTCAGATAATTTCCGAAGACGTCTATGTAGTTGACTCGGAAAGTTTGATCGAAAACATCACATATGTCAGGTTCTGGAGAGGAACACCAATGCATCAGCAAGAGCTCTCCACCCAGCCATCAGAGTGGGGAAAGTTTGGTTTCTGAATCTCTTATCACTATCGACACAGGATCAGGCTGCGCACATCGGGAGCGCTGGCTAGATCGACCTTACCACTGTACATGAGAAGCTGGTGCAATCCCCTAGCGAGGGTGGGCCGGTAGTCTAATAGATCCCTGTAGGTGCCTCTCACTCCGAACAACTTGCGGTAAACAACCATAGGGAAACGAATGTCCAGGATGACATTATTGTAGATGGCCAGCCCCAAAATGATACCTGCGGAGGGAAGCCGTTTGAATTCGTGAGTACGGGGAGAGAGAAAATCGATGACGTGAAATTCGTTGAATATGGGTACTTCAGAGAGCTATACTGATAGTCTTTAAAGTGAAGCTCCTCGCGGCCGGAGCCCGCTTACCGATCAATGAAAACTGTGCGTCGTTCTCAAATGAGTTCTGATTGAACCAATAACTCTGAGTTTCTTCATCCACCGTGAACATCCCATAATCAATGTTGAACAACTGTTCCACTATCAGCTGGAAAAACTCCTTCGACACTCCGCCTTCATCGACACCTGTAACGACAGGATGCCATGCATGATGAACTCATTGTCCCTACATGTCAACAGCGAGAGGAAGGTCTCAAGGCCTTGAATTCGAGAACGGGACCCACCTTGTTCTCCGTCGAATTCTACGACGAGCTGCTTCTTGAGATCGGTTGGGTTTTCAAGAGCAACCCATTCGAGGTTTACAAGGGCGTCTTCGACAATATGCTCCCGCCGAACGCGGAGTTTCAGCACCTGGTCAGAGAAAAAGTCCCGCATGAGAATTTCTTTCCTGCGGTGGCCTGCTCACTTTCCGTCGACCCGGGACCGCCTTCCCGCTCCGAATACCCGCATAAACTGCGGCATTATAATAAACTTACGGGGTTAAGTAGTTCACCGTGCATTAGGGACGAGAGGTAGCTGCGTGTCCTATGATTCGACATTTTTATTCGATTATCCAAGTTCAGAGCTTGAATACGGGCTGACGGTGTCAGAATGAAGGGACAGAACAGGAAGGAGAACTTCTCGCTCGGATTCCCTGAGGAAGATGAGGTTCAGAAATTCGACCTGTCAATCTGAAGCCTCGCATGGTGCGGCTCCACACGGAGATATTTAGTCGGATTGACGTCGCGATGACAGACCTTCCCGGTAGTTGCTGTAGTCATGCTCAATCAGCAATTGGTCCGATAGAAGCTCGTTGTAGAACTCGTCGAGTTCGATGAGCGGCTTCCTGCAGTCGAGGGTATCGATGCCGAGCTCCACAAACAACGGGTCGAGCTTGCTGTAGCCCGGTGGCAGCCGGGGCTCGTCGTCATCGTTGTTCAGCACGAAGTCCGGCACAACGTCAGATTCATCTTCCTCATTTTCCACAAAATATACAAGCCGAGGCTCCATGTCACCAGCGAGGATATCAACAGCGAAGAGAATCCTCAGAAATCGTGTTGCGTCGCAAACCTAGGGAAGAGCACGATGACTCTAGGAATTGATCTCCACGAAAGACCCTCGTAAATCAATCTGTCCGCAAGGGCCCGGATCGGTACGCTCAAGTATTGGAAGGATTCGGAATTTCACTGACCAGACTGTCCTCATTTACAATGTAGCCCAATCGGAATACCCCGCTGAGTAGTCTCGTCGTGATGAGCTGTTGCACAGTGTATACGTACTGTTGGAGGCGGGCCTAGAGGAGGCGAAATCGAGCTTTACCCAGGTGCACTGAATGAAGTCATCGTTCTCGAAGCGTTCTCGTGGAGCAGAATTCGGGGAGACCACTCACCGGATTGTCTCTGAGTAAGACCGCCATAATCCGCGAAAATCTCGCTTGAGCCGACATGGGGAATTTCGTCTGCGGAAATTGACAGACTTTATCATCGGAAGAATTCTCGGCCCACCCGGCGTCTAGAGTCGCAAAAGCGTCCTCCTCTGCCGAGCGCATGAATATTTGAAGACGACGACCAGTTTTCGACTTGATGTTTTGCCTCGTTAGGCTCGAGAACAGCCTCACACTCACAATCAGATTGCACAAAGAAGGCAGAACATCCGAGAGGTCCGGAATTTCGAGCATGGGGAGCTCCATGACGAATACAATGACGTTTATCAGACCCGGATCGTTAATGTTCAGTCGACTAGAAACGAAATCCATCTCCAGACCTCTGCACAATGATGGCACGGTGTTTACCACTGGTCGTACGGCTGGCTTACTGCCATCTGAGGGAAAGAGATCAATGTGAATACAAGAAACACTCGAGGGTCTCGACTCCGAATACGAGCATTTGTGTTGGGAGAGAGCCTCCCCAACTTCTCGACGCACCTTGCTCTTCGAGCTCGAACAAGATGGTGTAACTTCGCCGAAGGGCGTCGATGTCAGGGGTCAAATCTATGATTCCGTCATCCAACTCAGAATCGACCGATCCGAGTGATTCCCTGTGGTCGGAGAGATCGACGTCAGTACTGTCACAAGGGCACAAAAAAATGGCGAAGCTCTGCACACGTCTAATGGAACGATGATCCTCTTCTGCTAATGACTCAGCGATAAGGTACCATCAAACTGTAAGAAATGCTCAGCTGACCTTCTGGACTCGGAAGAATCAATGTCTTTGTCCTCCTCTGTCTGAGCCCGCGTTTCTTCTTTAGGTGCTCCATCCCGGATAGGTGGTCTCGGCGCGCGTTCTCGCTGGAAGGATTGCTTCAGCGCACAATAATCTGAGAAAATTTTCCCTGTAATGGAAAATGAGTGAGAAGGAGTTTAACATTCCTTCTTAGTTAGTCTGGTGAGCACTCTGATTGGAGACAGGTCTCACCTAGCGTCCGAATGAGTTCCGAGAAACTGCCGGTTGCCTTCGCCCGGGCAACCATGTGCTGTACAGCTTCTTCATTCAGAAAAGCGTAGCCTTCGTCGGGAACAGCGGGTACGGCGGCCGGGCTCTGAAAGAATCAGGGTAAGCCCGTGAATCACTAGAGGGATCTCGACTGAAGACTCAGGAGATTATTTGAGCTCAGTAGAATTTTCCTCGAGATGTTCTCCATCGTCTCGGGGGACTCTCAGCCTGCTCTGAGCGATTCTAGGAGCAGCTCGTGAACCTCACCGTTTCTGCGTTGTCCTCCGGCGGAGAGGTCTCACTCATTTTAAAGTACTGCAAAGAGAACGAAGACGACTTTTATCGGATGGACTACTTGGACTTGTTCTTAAGGTCGTTTCTCCGCTACCTCCGACTGTTTCACGAAACGCGAAGAAAAGAAGAATGATGTGTAGCAGTGATCACTTCGAGACCACTTCGTCTACGGTAATCAAAGAAACAACTTTAAAGCGAGCCTGATGGGGGAGGAAGAGGGAAGGCGTGCGCAAATTTTTTGCGCGTCGACTTGGCCTCCGGAACTCCCCTTCCCCCCTCCTGACCCCAAATATTCTTCGAAAGCGAAATTTTTCGACCGAGGCGAGAGAAGTCCGCCGACGAACAGCTGACAGTCACGGACGCAACGCATGGAGCGAGGCTTAGGCCCTCTAAGATCTCGTGGTCATGGAATTGAGATCGGAACGGATCGGGATCAGAAGACCCGTCCGATCGCTCGAAGTGATTCAATGACTAAATCATGCCAAGATCAGCATCGATCGATGCTCAACCTCGAACAACGCGGATTTCACGAGCATCTCCCCCTCCTCCTCGATCTTGCGTTGAATCACGTCGCTGTTTCATATATGCGGCGAAGAAGGGAACGTCGGAAAGCGAGTCTCGCAATCGAAACGTGTTCCGGAAGAAATTTGATTTTGCTCAGCTGGAGGCTGCTTAATCTTCCTCAGCCGGTGATCCACCTACCTGACCCAACTTGGGGAACGCAGAGACGATCCTACAACAGGCACCACAAGAGACTCCACGGTCACTGATCGAGCTTTCCGGTTGTTGAGTGGACTCGCGACTTTTCCCACAAAAATCGGAAACTCCGGGTTCTCGGCCAGATGAATCAGCGACCGAGCGACGACACCATTCCGGAGAGGCCGCTCAGCTACGGTCAACAATATCAATACGCTGGTTTGTTGACTCTTTCAACAAGCGCGAATCAGAAATTCAACTAACTAAGGAGTGTTTCTGGCTCGCTGCGAGCTCCCTAGGACTGCCGAACGCGCAAATGACGTTCCTCTGGAACTCTATATGAGGAGCAGGCGTCCGTGGGACCGCGGAGGAACGCACTTCGAGTATTTATTCAGAACATCTGCCACAAGCGGTCGCAGCTGATTTGTGTTCGGACGCTGGTGAGGAAGACCTCCGCTCGAAGACAGGCAGAATTGAAAATTCCCGCACATGTCCCGCTTCTCTTCTGGAAAATAGTGGAACGGCTCCCTGGAGACAGTGAGCAGACTTCCTAACGTATTCCAATAGAGAACCCGGCGGATGTCCGTGAGGAGCCTCTGCTTGTTCACGGCGCCATAGGCGGTATGAGCAGCTCGATGGTGGCCGTTTACCGCGGCGGGCTCCTCGAAATTCCTTGAATTTCGTCGCCGTGAATTGTTCCGGATTCTCAAAGCAACTATCTAACGAATGGGATGAGTCAATCCGTGGGTGTGTTGCAGTAAATAAGGAGGTGGTTTTCGATCATAATCGCTACCCAGCAAGGTTGACCTTTCTACACTACTTCCACATAGCAAGATCCCGTTACAGGCGGGATACATGTGTGAGAAACGATCGGGAGACATTTGCAGTCTCCGGCCATCCTCTATACAGAACACAAGGCAATGTCAGGGGCACGGGGTACTTGCGTGCGAAACGACGGTGTGAATTTACAGAGTCCCTTCCTGGAGCCGTGAATGGATTCTCTTACGGAATATATCTTACGGAACCCCTAATGGTCCGGACTCCGCTCGCGATTGCTCCAAGCCGCTGCCCCCTGCTCTTCCCCTTGGTCTTGATAGCCCAGAGACCATACTTTACAGGACGTGCCTCTGTCTTCCGGTCGTACTCGGACTGCGCCATACTCTGCGAAGGCCACTTTGCGTTTCAAGTAACGCAATGGGGCGAGGGAATCCTAAACCTTTTCTTACTACATGACTAATCGTTCGGAATCTTACATATCTCCAGGGACCCTATCATCATCACGATACATAAAACAGCCTGCATCCAATGCGGATGAGGAGTCTCGGTTAGACAATCTGTGACCTGCCAGGTGAGCGACCCTTTATGCAATGACGTTATGGAACATTATGCGGCGGCTCACCTTTGAAGGAGAGATTATCTGCAGAAGCGAATCTCATGGACGGATACGGACGACGCGACGGCGAAGTTCTCGAAAATCAGATCTTCTCTATTGTGTCCTCGGGGGAACTGTGCAACAGCTCCACCTGTTCATACTCATTCTCGTCGGGGCTTTCCAGACAATTCGAGAAGAGTGAAATCCAACGTCGTCCCGTTTGCGACATGCGAACTGAGATCCGGAGTGAGGAACTTCTGATATCATGGTACCGGCTAGAAATGGCCCCAGCTCATCATGAGTCTTCTTTGCGATGTCATGCCTTCGCAAGGTTCCCAAAGAAGAGTTAAATCCAGCAGTGTCCGCCGCATTTAAGCTCGACCTACATGGCCGTTACTTTGTGGTGCGTGGAGAGGGAATAAGAGATAGCCGATTGGGCGGCTGCCAAGTCAAAAGCCATGATGCCTTATCGCTGACGCCGGATATTTTCCGCGGCGATCGCGGAATTCGCGGGAGCCACAATTCTCGTCGTTTTCTGACGAGCCCTGCGCAATTCGTCCATTCCAGAGATGGGAATATCTTTATCTAATTAGCTACCGATTCCCTCTGATACAACACTCCTCTCGATGGCGTTCCTCCCTCTTAAGGAGCAACGGAAGAATGTATCGAACATTAGCCGAACTGTCCGGTATCGAGCAGTATTCTCCTCTAGAAGCTCGACTGCCCCCGAGGATGCGGATTCGATTCGCGACTCCGCGCAAACTCCGCGAGAAATCGCAGCCAGAGAGCCGACGGGCAACCGGAATCGCTTCAGAGATCTACCGCCTGCGCAAGAGCCTACGGCAATGCAGATGAGCTCCTCAAACATAATTAATACATCCAGATCTCCATCGTCTGAACACGCATTCTCCGCGTTCGATTTCCGAGGCACAGAGCCCATCACGGGGACGCTGTTCTACGGAGCTCCGGTTTTTCGTCAAGGCTACCAGAATCCCGCCACGAAGACTAGCATAGCCTTGTTAGCGCACCCAGGAGGAACAGGTGGCGCGCCATTGCCCGCCGATTCCCGAGCTAATTTCCGATCTATTTATAGCTGAGTCCGTTGCCTTGCACTGGAGGTCCAATCTTATTCTATAAGTCGCGTCGGAGTCATAAACTTGTTATTGGCCAAATTAGGCCGCGAAACTCCATTAGCAGCCTTAAAGATGCTTTCTCGTTTCACAGCTATCTGATGATGATCGACGGAAGCCTGTGGAATAGGATGGCCAAACTCGGATGACGATCAGTGGGAACGGATTTCTCGGAGCGGTCAAACGAGGGCTAAACGAGAGAGTGCCAGCGCTCTCCGCATCAGATGCGTGTCCCTGCCCCTCACATTTCGATACCGAGCCGCAACAATGATGCGTCTAGGTCTATATTCATTAACACACAACTTCCACGGCTCGGGATGCGGTAGGTGCTCCGATCTTCTCTCCGCTCTAGGCAGTGGAACCTTCTCGGAGCACTCGAGCTCCATGTCACTAGCACTGTCAGGCCTGTTCTCCCGTTTTGCGGAGAGAGAAGGATGAGTGAGATCCACAGAGAAGAGCAGGCGGTCGCCATAAATCTTGGGGATCTCATACGTTCATCTATACATCACTCTATCCATCTATCCATCCAGCCAGCCGGTCAGCGGGCCGACCGACCGGCAGGCCGAGCTACCGTCCATACATCTGTACGTCCGTCCTGTACAGTCTCCGCACCCAGTATACAGTGAGCTCAGTCCGAAGGAACATCAATTTGGATTTTCAAGGCGGACACGAACCCAGTTCGCTTATTTTTTTCGACCCGGACGCTGCGTGCCTGCCTGTCTCCGGTACGGGACAAATGGGCTATCGAGTTTAAACCCTTGGGATGGAAAGTTTGCTCTCGAGCCATCATTTATTCCGTAATCTCGAAGGTCCGCGGCGTCGCTGCGCATGCGACGCCAGCATCTGTATTGGGCAGAGTCTGAAGCTGTGTAGAATACTCTCCAGTCAGGAAGAGAGGAGCACATTTTGATCGATGAGAATTTTCGATTTTTGACGAGGTGATCGCTGTGATTCAAGAAATTCCCGGATGAGAGCCGCACGGAGGAGTCCGCGATCGGCGTGAAGGTCGACGAGGATCGGGTTTCCGATCGTTTATATTCCCGAGTCTCCATCTATCGAGTAGCGATAAGGAACAAGCTCAACCGAGAGATCTGTGCGAAGATTTCGGAAGTAGAGAAACGAATGAGCTTCATTTTTCTACTTAAACCCGTTATGGGACTCGGGCCTCCGAATGAGGCGAAGAATAGGAGGATATGGACGTCGCTCGAACTCGTCGGGGGAATCTTGCCTCCCACGGGGCGGATGGAGTCTCGGATCAGCCTTTCGCGTTTTCTCACGAGCGCCTTCCTTGCGCTCGCAGAGCTTGGCGATAGCGGCTCCCGACTAGCTACATCGAGCCTAGGTAAGAGCAATCGCGACCCTTTGAATGCAGGGTCGATGGGCTACTTCAGCTCCGCTTCGACGGGGAGTATTCCGTTGTCGCGAAACTTCGCACTCTTCAAAGAAGTTCCTCATCCATCGTCTAGCGGGCGTTTTCAAGAAAGAGCCATTATCGAACAATTCAACCCGAAGTCGCTCAACGCCATCGATTGAGCTCGCTAGTCGTTCTCGCTCAGTCGCCTTCTCCTCATTCGTCCTGTCAACAAGGAGGGAGCTTCTCCTGAAGCGAACCGTCCGATTCCGGGGATTCAGGAAGGGCATCATTAACTTTTGGCGTTACGCTACAAGCGCCTCCGTCGGAGTTGGAATGTCAGGACGCATAAAGCAGAGAGGACGGGAGTATTTATAGCAAAAAACGAAAAGTAAGATCCGTTCGAGAAGGAGGGGGAATTCCTTGTCACATCCCGGAGTGCACCCGGGAGGGCAATTTGAGGACGACCTTCTTCGACCGAAGAGCAAACGAACAAACGATACGGAGCATTATCTGCCGTCGTTCCGGCGTTTTGCTTCGTGCTCTCGAGGAGCTGTTGCATCCCGTTCGTACAAAGCCGCGCCGTGATCGCCGCAAGAACTCAGCTCTTCTTGGTCTCGAGCCCGGAGCCTGGAAATGTTCGGTGGCGAATTTGATCCATCCTCTTCTCCGCTTCACCCTCCCTTGCCCCAGTACGGGGGTCTAGATTCTGTCAACGGGGGAGGAGCGCTGATTGGGCCGCATCATGCGCAGCTAATCGTAGCGAATTAGAAAACTAATAATTATAGTGAGAGACTCTCAATGATTGACGGTCCGACTCAACAGCTCTCTCCTCGACCCTCGCTCTGTTCTCGAGTTGACCTTGAAATCCTAATTTATTCATAATCTCTGAAAGCCTGAGGTATTGTTGGATCAATAGTTTGGCTCCTCCGAGCCCAACAGAGGAGAGGACACGGAACGATTTGCGGCGTCAAGCTTGCTTTCGGCAAACACCATTTGCATGCTGCGATCGTCGCGTGAGTCTCGCAAATGCCCGGGAAACTTATTCAAGCGTCTCTGTCTTGTACGGCTCTGTCAGTCGCACTCGTTGTAAGGATAAGCTGTGTTTCGTATTCTTCAACTTACTGACCAAGGGTGAGTTTACACACCTTCTACTTCATTTGTGTTAGTTGCAAGCGATCTCTCTGTTCGGATACGCATCGCTGCTGAGTTCTTGATCTGGGGTTGAAATGTTCTTTTTTGGGTAGCCGCGATAGAGCTGTGTCCATCTTTGAATATTTCAGAGTTGCTCCGACCGAAAGACGGCGCTTTCGAAAATGTCTTTCAAAGTGGTTCTGACCTTAGTAGTTCTTGGCTTCATGGTTGTCACCAGCGAAGAGGGTAAGGACGATCTGGCCAAAAATTTTGAAGAAGCGAAGAAAGTCGCCAAGATGGCCAAAAACTTCCATGAAACAGTCGGCGGCAACAACAGTGAGTTCGTCTGAAATATTCCCACGTACGGAGCGGGCTACGGATTTCCACCAGACTTGCCACTTCAATACCCCTACAATGGGGGCGTATACGGGCGAATTTTCAATCTCGTGCCCCCAACCTTTTCAGTTACGAAAACAATCGAGGTGGGCAAGAAGGCTTACGAGAAAAAGAAGAAAATCGATAGTTTTCTGGGCCGGAAAGAGGAAAATCCGCTCAAAACTGCAAAATCCGTACT